TTTCCCAGAATTCCTCACTATGATGGCCCGGAAAATGAAAGACACAGACAGTGAAGAAGAGATTCGTGAGGCCTTCCGAGTTTTTGACAAGGTGAGTTTGCTTAATTTGGGAGGGGGGGCATGGACAACATGACGACTTCAGGTAGCCCTCGAGTTACGACCACAACCAAATTTACTTTGCTGGAAGCATTTGTGAAGTGAGTTTTGCCCATTTTTACGACTTTTCTTGCCACCGTTGTTAAGCAAATCGTTGCGTTCGTTAAGTGAGTTGCGCAGTTGTGAAGTGAATCTGCCTTCCCCATTGACTTTGCTCGTCAGAAAGCCGCAAAAAGGGATCGCGTGATATACACACACACCTACTGTAATGGTTGTAAGTGCGAGAAAGTCACTTTTTTCAGTGCCGCTGTGACTTTGAACGGACACTAAATGAACGGTTGTAAGTTCGAGGCCTACCTGTGTCTCATCTGTCCCTCCTTCCTTCTCTCTCCAGGATGGCAATGGGTACATTAGCGCCGCCGAGCTGCGCCATGTGATGACCAATCTGGGCGAGAAGCTGACCGACGAGGAGGTGGATGAAATGATCCGAGAAGCAGATATAGACGGGGACGGGCAAGTCAATTACGAAGGTAAGGGGCCAAAGGTCCTTGGGCATCCTTAGGGGTCGAAGGTGAGTGGCTGGAGAACCCACTGTCTCGCGCAGGTGGCATTTATTCCAAGGAAATGGTTTAGCGTTATTATTATTTTCTCCTACTTGGCAAGCAGAGCTCGAGAACACTTAAGGACTAGAAACGGGTGAAAGAAAGAGAGGTTCAGGGCTATCCAAGGGACTTGCCTGTCCCTCTTTAGACACCGAGCTGCCTCTCTTTCTTCACTGTCCCTACAGGACAGCTTTGGTCCGAAGCCCCACCGGTGACGGTTCGTCTGGCTGGATTTTGCCAAGCTTGTCGGAGCCTGACATTTTCCCAGCCAGTACCGCCGCGTCGCTTCCGGATTCTCCTTGGCTGGGGAATTCTGGGAGTTGGAATCCACCCTTCTTCAGAGTGGCCATGGTTCAGAGACAGTGATTAACAGAGTTGGAAGGGACCTTGGAGGTCGTCTAGTCCAACACCCCCCCGCCCCCCGAGCATATCCTACACAATAATTTCAAGGCCAATTTTTAACCTTTATCTGCATCTTTTGCTAATGAGGACGCCCTGTCTGTCAAGGTGGCCAGGGAATTCTGGGAGTTGGGAGTCCACCTTTCTTCAAAGTCGCCGAGGGTTGAGAGACACTGATCTATAGTAATTTCAGGGCCAATTTTAAAACCAAGAGCCTTGGTACTACAGTGGTTTAAAGCACCCTGTTATTAACACAGCTGCCTGCAATTTACTGCTGGTTCGAATCTCTCCAAGGCTCAAGGTTGACTCAGCCTTCCATCCTTTCTAAGGTAGGTTAAATGAGGACCCAGTTTGTGGGGGCAATAAGCTGACTTTGTATAAATATACAAAAGGATGAAGGCTATTGCTTAACGCACTGTAAGCCGCCCTGAGTCTCCGGAGAAGGGCGGCATATAAATCAAATTTAAAAAAAAAAAAAAAAAAAAATCTTTTAACTGCATCTTTTGCTAATGAGTATCTCGTGTCTTGTCAAGACGGCTAGGGAATTGTGGGAGTTGGAGTCCACCCTTCTTCAAAGTGGCCGAGGGTTGAGAGACAGGGGTGGGATTCAACTGGTTCGGACCGGAACCGGTAGCTCCAACAATCAGCTGAGAGCGAACCGGTTGGTTCCGATGATCAGCTGAGAGCGAACCGGTTGGCTCCGACAATCAGCTGAGAGCGAACCGGTTGGTTCCGATGATCAGCTGAGAGCGAACCGGTTGGCTCCGACGATTGGCTGGGCCCGCCTGCCGGCCTGTCCCTGCGCTATACCAACCTATATTTCTGTTGAGCGGATTGCTGCGCCTCAGCTGTTTTACTCACTGGGGCTGCAGTAGAAGGTAAGTTATAGACGTGTTTTCAAACGCACTGCGCACGCAGGCGGAGTGCATTTGAAAGCGCATGCTTCAGCGAACCGGCTGTTACACCGGTTGAATCCCACCACTGTTGAGAGACACAGATCTCTAACTGTATGTTCTCCGAACAATTGCTCGTCGAAACAGATTCATTAACGGGTGGGTGGGGGTGTTACCTTTCGGCAGCCCCTTCCTCGGAAAACCCCTGACGCCCTTCTCCGTCCTCTCTCCTTGCTCCGTAGAGTTTGTACAGATGATGACCGCCAAATAAGACAAGCCGCTGCCTCTCTCCCTCCCCCTCGCCCGCCGCGCCCCCACCCCCCCACGGCCTTTCAGGATGGAAGGATGGCCTGCTTCCCGCTGGGATCTTATCCAGCCCCACCTGTCTTTTGTCTGTGTACAACTCATGCCCCATTGACGCTTTTAGCAGTTTGTGGCTGTTCCCTGCTCTGCCCCTCCCTTTGCCCGCCCTCCTCCTGCCCCCCCGGGGTGGGTGCGGTGGTGGCCGGGGACAGTGCCTCGAAGCCCTTGTGGAGAGCGATGGGGCTGGAAAATGGGACGCCTTTGGACAAGAGGTGGGTAGGAAGGTGAGGCCGCCCCCTCTCCCCCCTGGCTCAACCCCTTGCCTTGCAACCCACGGTTCCCCCCCCCCCCCCCCGCATTCATGGACTGTCGTCGTATGCGGCCTCCTTGCATACTTCCGCCATCGGACCGTTGTCTTCCTAGGACTATCTGCATATCTTGGATATATTGTAATTGTTAACCTAATCAATAACCATCCTCTCCACTCCCCCCTTACCCCTCCATAGCTTCAGGGAATGCTTCTGTTCCATTCCAGTTGATGTAAAGGTTTCTTTTTATTATTATTTCTTCTTCTTCTTCTTTTTTTTCTTCTTCTCCGTTCTTCTTTTAAATAAACTTTTGTGTTTCAAATCCGATGGAGCCAATCTGCTTATGTAAAAATCAGGCCCTGAAGCCGTGCTGCTTTTGGGGGGGGGGGGGGGGCTTCAAAAATTTTAGCAAGGGGTTTTCTGCCTGGTTGCTGGGTGGGCGTGGCCAGGGTGGGTGTGACTTACACCACGGGGGGAGGGATTTTTTGCCCTCCCCAGGCTCCGGAGGCTTTTCTTGAGCATCTGGGAGGGTGAAAACAGCCTCCCCAGGCTCCAGAGGCCCTCTGGAGGCCGGAAACGGGCCCGTTTCCAGCCTTCTCGAACTTCCGGCAGGCCTGTTTTTCACCCTCCCCGAGCCTCAGTGCGCGCCCTGCACTTACCTGCATCAAAACGGGCCATATGGGGAGGGGAGGGGTAGGCGGGGCCAGCCAGGAGTGGGATTTGTGGATTCTCCAAACTGCACAGAATCTTAGCTAGAGGTTCTTCCGAACCCCTGCGAGCCCCCCCCTCCCCCCCCCGTAGCCCACTCCTGGGTTTGGGATAAAGGAGTTTATATTTTGCAGCAGATGAGAAACCCGTGTTCTTAATGGCCTCTTCCCACTTAAAAGATTCCATTTTCACCACAAGATTCCTTGAAAGGGCCAGTCCTGGTTTTTCCTTTGGATCTGCCAGCTCCCAGATCAGGAAAACCGTGCATTTTTCAGCCAGCCATCTCCATCCTTTTGGCAGCAATGGGAATGACAGCCCCACTGAAGGAGATCACTTAAAAAGGAAGGATTTTAATGTCTCCTAAATTGCAGAGTTAAGGGAATGAAAAACCAGCTCTGGTGATTTGTTTGGGAAGATTGGGAGGGGAGAGAGAGAGAGATACTATTGATATAACTAGTCAAGCTTTGAGATTCCATCAAAAGAAAATTCAAAGCGAATATAAATTTGTGGATTTCAGCATTGGGAAGACCCCAAAGTTAGGTGTTAGTGTATTTCACTAGCCCTCTAAATTTCCAGAGAATGTAGTAACGGACTGTGTGTCCAGTGCCATGAAAGAATTGACCTTGTGATATTTCAGGTTTATATGAATACATTTGTCACGTGTATACACACACATACATACACACACAGTAGAACCAATAGAAGAGAATATTTGTAGCTCAGGATTGAACGATGGGGTCCTGGACGCGCTCTCAGCTTGGTTGTTTTCTTGCTGACGTTTCACGACCCAACTAGGTAACATGATCAGTGTGACAGGATGGGGTGGGGCTAGCTCATTTTATAGGCTCAGTTCAAACCCTCAGCTCCATACAGGGGTGAAATGCTCTGAAGCCTACTACCGGTTCACTTCGCTCGCGTGCACTAAGAAGCCTTTTCTGAGTCTGCAAAGGTAAGTACAACAGCGAGGAGGCGGGAAACAGCTGTGCCGCGCAATTTAGATTCCCTAGAAAGCAGGATTTCCTACGCAAATATAAATCACGCAGCAGCACAGCTGATTGTCGCACAGCTGATCCTCAGAACTTTTTTTTTTAAACTTTTTAAAGGATTTTTTTACTACTGGTTCCAGCAAACCGGTAGTAAAAAAAAATGCCTAAGATGGAAAAAAAGTTCCGACAATCAGCTGTGTGACAATCAGCTGTGTCATGCAATTGTTGGAACTTTTTTTTTTTTTTTAGCATTTTTATTACTACCGGTTCCAGCAAACCGGTAGCATTTGTTACAACCGCTTCGAGCGAACAGGCCCGAACCGGTACCATTTCACCTCTGGCTCCATACCTTCTCTTCTATTGATACCACACAGGAGTATCAAAGGCTTTGAAAAGCACACAATTGGGAGAAAAGTGCATTTGGGCACACCTACCAGGGAACGGCTGCACGAACGCCTATAAAACGAGAGCAATCCCCCCACTTCCTTCTAGTCCTGATGACGTTACCTAATTGGGTCATGAAACGTCTGCAAAAAAAAACAAAACCAAACCCCCACAGCCAAGCTCACACCACATCAAAACCACAGAGCCGAGTATTTCCGAATTTGTTCCATCGAGCCAAACCCGACCAATGCTTTTTGGTCTTTGGAATGAAACCTTTTCCGCGGACAAAAAATTGGCCGAAAGGAATCCGAGAAAAAGCGCTTTGGCTTCAGAGGCGATTTTTATTTTCAAATAAAAAATGCACATGGTTTGGTTGAGTGGGCTGGGACCTCCCCCCCCCCCCTTGAGTCTTGTGCTACTGAAAAGAAGGATGTTAAAAGGACGCCCTCCACACACTCTTCTCCTCCTTGGCACCGAGCGGAGGGCCTATGGCAGTTAAGACATACACACGTATGTACAGACGCACGCGCGCACACGGATGTCCCTTGCCCCCATGGCAGGAGGAGAGTTTTAGCTCCCCGCGGGGAAACAGCTATCAAGTGCAAACAAACGGAAGGAGGAAAACAGCTGGCCAAACGGTTGAGAAGGACTACTACAGCTAGTCCTCGACTTAACGGCCACGACTGAGCCCAACATTTTGGTCGCTAAGTGAGACCCAAGCGAGCTTTGCCCCGTTTTTACGACCTTTCTTGCCACTGTCGTTAAGGGAATCGCCGCAGTTGGATAAGTTAGTAACCCGATTGTTAAGCGAAATCTGGCTTCCCCGTAGACATTGCGGGTCGCGAAACGGGAAATCGCGTGACCCCTTGGGACACCGCAACGGTCGTAAGTCCGAACCAGTTTGCCAAAGCGTCTGGATTTTGACCCACGTGCTCATTGGGGATGCAACCGTCGTTATGTGTGAAAAAGGGTCACCAGTTACTTTTTTCACAGCTGTTCTAACTTCGGTCACTAAATGAACTCAGGTAAGTCAAGGACTACCTGTATTTTAAACAGGCTTAGAAATGGGGCAAAATTAGCATACTGTCGCTTTCCCAAGGGAAAAGAGATTTTTCTTTATATGGTGCAGAAAATGCCTTGTTAAGTTGCCTGCGTTTCCTCCCAACATATCACGTCCAGTTCACACGATGCTGGTTAAAGATGGCTTAAGGGAGAGCCAGGTTCAAGAATTCCTCCCTAAATCTCCCCGGATGTTGAAGCCAAGCGTTTTATTTATTATTTTTTTTGTGCAGGGAGAAAAATGAATGGCGCCTTCCACTCCCTGCCCAATATTGTGATTTTTAAAGCATCCGCTCGCTTCCTCCTCCTCCTTCGTAGACCAGGACAAATAGATTTATGAGGCACTTCCAATTCCATCTTTGAAGAACAATACCTGCCACGTCCCATTGCAGAAGTTGGAAAAGTTCTAGATCAGTAGTTCTCAACCTGTGGTCCACGGATCCCTGGAGGACCGCAAAGACTTGGAAAAAATACACCGATTTCAATCTTAAATCTTGGAGTCCGTGGCCACAAAAGATATTTAAAGGGAATCCGTGGAGCGGAAAATAGTAAGAACCATTGGCCTAGAGCAACATTACTCACCCTTGCTAGCTTTACGTCTGGGTAGGCTTCAACTCCCAGAATTCCCTAGCCAGTAACAACAACCCAACGTTGCCTGGGGGAATTCTGGGAATCGAAGTCCCATCCCGCCTTAAAATCCGCCGAGGCTGAGAAACACTGATTTAGCAATCTGCAGCGGCACTTTCTCGTCCTCGACAGAAACGCAAATTTTCCCGAAGTTTTTCTCTCTCTAAAGTGCCCTATCGCTATCCTATTAACGGTATAAAAATTTATCAGTTTTAAACGGTGGCAGATGCTGGTTCTTAATTTAAGGGAACTCCCAATGCTTCAAGTAGCAATCAACTTCCCATTTCATGTGGATTAAACTGGCAGCCTTGGTGGTGGGTAATACTGAACCCGTTCTTATTTTTCCCATGCTTACGTTTTCTCCATTTCCTCCCTCGTTCCCCAAATCGCAATAGGTTGCTAATTGCACTTCCCTTTAAAATCCCTGTCTCACTCGCTTTCTCTTTCCTTCCTTTTCTCAGGCCCTTTTTGTCTTCATGCTGTTTTTGTGTGCAATTATATATATATATATTTGGTGTCTCCGATTCAAGAATGGGAAAAAACCCACTCTCTCTCATTCATACCCCTTTACAATCCCCCCCTCCCCCCATTTACAGCTACGGTCGTTCCCCATCAAAATATTCCTTAAACGTGCTACCGCCCGCTCTTAAAAAAAATATAATAATAATAATAATAATAACCTTATCAAATCCCCAGTCAGAAATTTAGCAACTCAACACTCCCGACTTTCCTGAAAAGCCGCATTTTCCGCCCCCCTACATAAAATACATAGTCCTCAAAACGCTTTAGGCAACATATCTTAAGTTTCCAAAAATCTGTGCAATAAGTTTCTCTTCGAGACACCAAGACATACCCACGTTTATAGAGAATAAAAATTCAAACAGGACTTGGGGTTTGTTTTTGTTTTTTTGCCCCGGTTAGCTTAAGCTAGTGATGGCAAACCTTTTCGGCACCGAGTGCCCAAATCGGAACGTGTGTGCATGGGCGCCCGCTGGAGCACCGGAAACCCGAACACCAGCTGGCCAGCACGTGCGTACCTGTTTTTTTGGCCATTTTCCGGCCCTGAAAACAGCCCACGAAACAGCCCCAAAACAGCTGAAAACAGCCTGAAAAAAACGCCAGAAAACAGCCGGAAAAATGCCCCAAAAACGGCCTGGTTTTTTGGCTGTTTTTCGGGCCATTTTCGGGCCATTTTTTGTCCCTGAAAATGGCCCATGAAACAGCCCCAAAATGGCTGAAAATGGCCCGAAAAACAGCCTGACGATGGCCTGAAAAATGCCCCCCAAACGGGCTGTTTTCAGGCTATTTTCAGGGCCAAAAAAAACCTGAAAATGGCCCGAAAATGATCTGGGTTTTTTGGCTGTTTTTTGGGCCATTTTCAGGCCATTTTTCGGCCCTGAAAATGGCCCCAGAAATGGCCTGAAAATAGCCCACAAAACAGCCCAAAAAATGCCCCCAAAACAGGCTGTTTTCAGGCCATTTTCAGGGCCAAAAGTGGCCTAAAAACAATCGGAAAATGGCCCGAAAATGGTCTGTTTTTTTGGCTATTTTCCAGGCCATTTTGGGGGCATCTTTCAGCCCTGAAAACAGCCCCAGAAACGGCCTGAAAATGGCCCGAAAAAAGGCCTGAAATGGCCCAAAAAACAGCCTGAAATGCCCCAAAAATGGGCTGTTTTCAGGCTATTTTCAGGGCCAAAAACGGCCCAGAAAAAGGCCCGGAAACTCTGTTTTTTTGGGTGTTTTTCAAGCCATTTTCAGGCTGTTTTTCAGGCCGTTTTCAGCGCTCCGGCACTGGTGAAGAGCAGCTGGTGACGCCGTGTGTGCCCACAGAGAGGACTGAGTGTGCCACCTCTGGCACATGTGCCATAGGATTGCCATCACAGGCTTAAGCAATGGGAAAATAAAAAAAAAAAGACAATTAATACTGCTGTAGGAAAATTGGTGAGGGGCTTAAAGAGAAGCCCCTCTTGTATTGAGTACAACTTTCAAACGCTGATAATAAATCCACCTCTTAAGAATTCAGCGTCTTTGATTTCATTAAATTAAAGGAGGAGTAGAATTCAGTGGAGGGTTTTTATTTTTAATGTGTTTCTTCCTATAAATAAGGGTTTAAATAAAAATTTAATCTCGGTAAGCAAAGCTGGTGGATAGAATTCTTCTTAATTGATGCGATGCTCTTTTTTTTTCCTGTTTCTATATTTCCAATGTTTTTTTTTTTTAAAAAATCTCCTATTGAACTGGGACAAAAGCTGAGCTTCTATCCGATCTCTCGCACACACACACAAAATTCTAACTGTGAAAGACGCTGCTTTGCACAAACATTCACTCCCATGCTTGCCTTCAATATATATATTTAAACAAGACAGACAGGAATTTGCTTTCTTAAAAATATACTCTCTCCCTTTTGCCCCACCCCACCCCCCAAACTGCCTGAGCTTATCGGATTCACCCCAAAAAATAAACCTGGGACATCTCCCCCATCCCATAAACTTCAAGAGATATAAAATCTCTCAAGATTCAACTCTATAATTCTATGATTTAAAGTGGGGAGGGGCTGCCATTTAAGAGCCTCTCGTTCTCTCCCCGAGAAAAAAAAAAAATATATATATATACATTTTCCTACAAATTTCCTATTTGGCTTCTTTCTTCCGGACACAGAAACAGATTGATGCATCTTATTCTGGGGTTGGTTTGCTTTTTGGTTTCTCTTACACCTATATACATACACACAGGTTAGTCCTCGCCTTACGACCACAGTTAGGGCCGGAATTTCCACTGCGAAGTGAAGTCTTTTTTTTTTTTTTTTTGCTGCGGTTCTTCAGCAATTTCTCGCGGTTGTTAAAACGAATCGCATCATTAAGCGAATCGGGCTTCCCACCCTTAGGTCGGGAGCTGGCTGGGAACGTCGCGAATGGAAATTTTTGCATTCCCGAGGCACTGTACCCGTCGTCAATAGACGCGGCCATTGCCAAGCACCCGAATTTTGAACATTTTGTGACCGTAGAGGTGCTAAAGAAACGGTCATAAGCGTGAGGACTAAGTCATAAGTCGCTTTTTTTTTTTTTTTAGTGGCGCTGTAACTCCGGTCACTAAAAGAACAGTTGTAAGTCCAGGACTGCCTGTATATCCCTTAAAACCTAACATCCTCCTCAGAATGAGTTTTAGAGTTTTACCTGTTAAAAAAGTATAGTCTTTTTACTCCTGTGGCTTTTATACAAAAGGGTGAGGTTCAGGAATCACTCAGCAAGAAGCTGTAGCCCCAGATGTAAGCCTTGTGCCAACCTATCATTTAACCTGGTTGGTTTTATCTTAGTGTGACACGCAGACTAACTCTAATAATAGTTGAAGTGGCTAACGTCTGAGCCCAAACGTACCTTGGCACTAAGTTTTGCCGTTAAAGTTCTGCATCAGACACGGGAGTGTACGGGGATCAAAAAAATATAAAAATACAGGTAGTCCTCGACTTACGGCCACAACTGAGCCCCCACGCTTCTGTTGCTAAGCGAGACGTTTCCATTTGACGACCGTTCTCGCCACAGTTGTCAAGGGCATCGCTGCCGTTCTTAACGTGGTTGTTAAGTGAATCCAGCTTTCCCCGTGGACTTGATCTGAAGGTCGCAAAACGTGACCCCGGGGACACTACAACCATCATTAAGTATGAGTCAGCTGCCAAGTGTCCTGAATCGTCGCCGTGTTTGACCACGGGGATGCCGCAATGGTCACAAGTGTGAAAAACGGTCGTAAGTCCCTTTCCTCAGTGCCGCCATAACGCCGAACGGTCACTGAACGAAACTGTTGTAAATCGAGGTCTACCTGTAAAGCAAGGAGGAAATATTCTCCTTTCTTTCCCAGAATGCAGTTTTTGGCCTCAGAAGGAGCAAATCCCTTCCTATTAACAGTATATCCAAAAAAAAAAAAAAAAAATTAAACGCTACCCATCCTTAATAAAAACAACCCCATTATCTCTTAAAATAATCTCAAGTTTGGATTGCAAAAATGCAGCTCACCACCAGAGGGTGGGGGAGGATGCCGAGAGGACCGCTGCCCTCTGCTGGTAGTTTGGAAAACGGCAGTCTGTATCTGCAAACAACCTTAATTCATTCCCTTGCCTGCCGATCGAGGGCTGGGGAAATGGGGGTCCAAGCCAGCCCCCTTGCATGCAGAAAAGCGCCAGACTGGGGTAGAAAATAAAACCCCCACATTAAAATGCCCAAAGTTGCAAAATCTCCCTTGGCTGCGTCCTCGTGGAATCAAGATGTAGGATTGGGCTTGGAAATTAGGGGGGGAGGTCTCCTTCCAGCCATCAAAACAGGGGTGGCCCAAACCTTCCAAGAGCCCCCCAGGATCAGCGCCCCAAATCTCTGCCTTTTCCGACAGAGAACGGTCGCTTTGACCTTCCAACCCCCCCCCCCCCAAAATTCTGAATGAAGGTATCACATCATGGTGGGGTATGTGGGTGGGCTGGAAATGGGGATGGGGGAACGGAAGCCGGGGCTTCCCCGATGCTCCCCAGACAGCAACATAGACAATAAATACCCCCTTTTCCCATCCAGCGTTTTCAGTGCTCGGCCCCTTCCCCCGGCTGCTACGAGGGGGGGTCGTGGCGAATGGCGGGGATCTTGGCTTTGGGGGGACGGGTGGAGGAGCCCGAAGACGAGGAAGAGGAGGAGCTGCTGCTGCTTCGGCGGCCCTCAGCACCGGTGCTGGACATCTTGAGCTTACGCCGTTTGGCCAGAGGGGCGTTTTCCACGCTTTTTAGGAAAAACCCTTCGCGCTTCCCCTTGTTGAAGGCCTAGACGAGAGAGAGGGGGAAAAAATGTGATTTTAATTTTTTTATATATATCAAAAGAAGGATTTCTTTCTATTACCTTTTTTAAAAAAAAAACAGTTTATATATATATTTTCACATTAAAGGTAAAGATTCCCCTCGCACATACGTGCTAGTCGTTCCCGACTCTAGGGGGCAGTGCTCATCTCCGTTTCAAAGCCGAAGAGCCAGCGCTGCCCGAAGACGTCTCCGTGGTCCTGTGGCTGGCGTGACTCAACGCCAAAGGCGCACGGAACGCTGTTCCCTTCCCACCAAAGGTGGTCCCTATTTTTCTACTGGCATTTTTTTTTAACCTGCTTTCGAACTGCTAGGTTTGCAGAAGCTGAGACAAGGAACGGGAGCTCACCCCGTTATGCGGCGCTAGGGATTCGAACCGCTGAACTGCCGACCTTTCGATCGACAAGCTCAGCGTCTTGCCACCTCCAAAGGCAATCGTTTCCAATCCAGAGATTGCTTTTGGGGGGTGGGGGGAGCTGATAGTTTTTAGATGGCGCTCAGGGCCCTTCTCCCATACGACCACCCCTCATCCCATCCCCATCCGTCCCTTCAAAAATAAAATAAATCCCCCAGCCTTAAAACTGGTAACTCTCACCATAAACGTCACGTTGACGCCCGTTCGCACGGCCGGCCCAGAGCTCTCGAGGATGTCCGGCGTCATGAGCGGAGTGGACGAGAGGGCGCTGCCATCTTGGAGCCACTCGCTGTAGCGTAGGTTGGACATTTTCAACCGCTTGGCAGGGTCCACCGTCAGAAGACCTGGCCGAAGACGGGCAGATGAGATTTCAACCACAAAAACCACCCTCTCGGCAAACAAAACGGTGTCTTCCCCTCCCTATTTTACTACAGATAATCCTTCGATTTGCAAACGTTCATTTAGCGACCGTTCGAAGACCATAGTTGAGCTATGGTCGGCTTTCACACTTGTGACCCTTGCAGCCTCCTCATTCCCCCCCCCCGCCCCAGGGGTGGGCTGTTGGGGGTTCGCAGGGGTTCGGCAGAACCTCTAGCTAAGATTCTGTGCAGCTTGGAGAACCCCCAAATCCCACTCCTGGCTGGCCCCGCCCACCCTGCCCCTCCCCTCCCAGGAGTCCCCACACAGTCCGTTTTGGATGCAGGTAAGTGCAGGCCACGCGCGGAGGCTCCGGGAGGGTGAAAAACGGGACTACTGGAAGCTCGGGAAGGCCGGAAACGGGCCTCCGGAGCCTGGGGAGGCCGTTTTCGCCCTCCTGGAGGCTCAAGGAAAGCCTCTGGAGCCTGGGGAGGGCAAAAAGCCGCCCTCTGCCATGGTGCAGGAGGCCGACTAGGCCACGCCCAGCATGGCCACACCCACCCAGCAACCGGGCAGAGAACCCCTTGGTAAAAATTTTGAAGGGACCCCCCCCGCCCCTCCGCCGTCACATAATCCAAATTCAGGTGCTTGGCTCATACTTATGACCGTTGCCATATTCCCAAGGTCACACGATTCTCCCTTTGTGACCTCCTGGCAAGCCAAGTCAATGGGGAAACCAGATTCTCTTAACCTTTTTCACAGGGCCGTCGTAACTTCGAATGGTCCCTGCATGAAGGTTTGTGACTCGAGGGTTATCTGTAGTAAAGTTGAAAACGCTTGTGGCTTGTGCCAAAAAAAGAAAGTTGGGAAAATGCAGAAGTAGCTCAGCTGGCGAAACCTCCGGTTCCTTCTTCGCCATGTGATGGGGGGGGGGGGTTCCCAGAAACCGGCAGGCTGGCTTTGCACAACACGCCTGAACCCAATTAACCCCCCCAATTTTTTTTTTTTTACTACATCTCAACCACATATTTAATTGTAAGCACGCCCCAAACAGGCTGATTTTGCACAGCACCAGCTAAAGCCAGGGTGGCGCAGTGGTTAGAGGGCGGTACTGCAGGCTACTTCTGCTGACTGCCGGCTGACTGCAATTTGGCAGATCGAATCCTCACCAGGCTCAAGGCTCAAGAACCTTGATAGTACAGTGGTCTACGCACCCTGTTATTAACACAGCTGCCTGCAATTTACTGCTGGTTCGAATCTCTCCAAGGCTCAAGGTTGACTCAGCCTTCCATCCTTTCTAAGGTAGGTGAAATGAGGACCCAGTTTGTGGGGGCAATAAGCTGACTTTGTATAAATATACAAAAGGATGAAGGCTATTGCTTAGCGCATTGTAAGCTGCCCTGAGTCTCCGGAGAAGGGCGGCATATAAATCAAATTAAAAAAAAAAATTAAATGCATCTCTCTTTCTTTCTCTCTCTCTCTTTCCCTCTCTCCTTCTCTTTCCTTCCTTCCCTCTCTCTTTCTCTCCCTTTTTCCCTCTCTCCCTCCCCAATTTGGCGGTTCGAATCTCACCAGCCTCAAGGTTGACTCAGCCTTCCGAGGTGGGTAAAATGAGGACCCAGATTCTTGGAGGGCAAGAGGCTGACTCTGTAAACTGCTAAGAGAGGGCTGTGAAGCGGTATATAAGTGTAAGTGCTATTGCCCTTCCTTCCTTCCTTCCTTCCTTCCTTCCTTCCTTCCTTCCTTCCTTCCTTCCTTCCATCCATCCATCCATCCATCCATCCATCCATCCATCCATCCTGTTAGAATGCAGTATTTCAGGCTAACTCCACCCACAGCCCGCAGTTCAATCCTGACCAGCTCAAAGTTGACTAAGCCTTCCATCCTTCCGAGGTCAGTAAAATGAGGACCCAGACAGTTGGCGGGCAAATATGCTGACTCTGTAAACCGCTTAGAGAGGGCTGTAAAAGCACTGTGAAGCGGTACAGAAGTCTTAAGTGCTATTGCTAAAGCATCAAATCCTTCACCTAGGTTAGCCTAGGTGCGTTCGGCCAATGCAATCACCTGATCGACCTGACCCGATTTAAGCGTGTTGGTGTGAACATAGGACCCCACGATGAAAAACACGTCGGAAGGTCTCCCCATTCCCCTGCCTCCGGCTGTCCATCCCCATCACCTCGAACCAGCTCCTTGGCCTCTTCGGACACATTCTTCCAAGCTTCGCTCTCCAGGGAGAACTGCCCTTCCTTGATTTTGTGCATGATGTCGGCGGCGTGGCTGACCGCGCTGCCTTCTTGGCTACTGTGGAAGGGGACTTGGCCAGACAGCATGGTGTACTGGAAGGAAGAGAAGACAAATGAGCCGAAGGAGACACAGCAACGTCTCGTCTCCCCAAGCCTGTCCTACCTTGCAGGGTCGTGGTAAAAGGGATGCCCACCGAGATGATTAAATAGGGAGGTTTCCTGCTCTTCAGCCCATTGATTGTCCTGAACCCCTGTTGGTTCCCCTCAATGCCCCCAAACAATTACAAAATCTGTGGGGTCGTTTGGGGCTCTCTGAGCTTGTTTTTTTTTTTTTTTTTGGAGACGTTTCATGACTCTACTAGGGAACATGATCAGTGCTAGAAGGGAATGGGGATTGTTGTAAAATGGAGGAGGAGGAGGAAGAGGACTGGGGTCGTTTGGTGCTCTCTGAGCTTGGCTGTTTTTTTGGAGACGTTTCATGACCCTACTAGGGAACATTATCAGTGCTATAAGGGAATGGGGATTGTTGTAAAATGGAGGAGGAGGAGGAAGAGGACTGTGGGGTCATTTGGTGCTCTCTGAGCTTGGCTGTTTTTTTGGAGACGTTTCATGACCCTACTAGGGAACATTATCAGTGCTAGAAGGGAGTGGGGATTGTTGTAAAATGTAGGAGGAGGAGGAAGAGGACTGTGGGGTCGTTTGGTGCTCTCTGAGCTTAGCTGTTTTTTTGGAGACGTTTCATGACCCTACTAGGGAACATTATCAGTGTTAGAAGAGAATGGGGATTGTGGAGTGGAGGAGGAGGAAAAAGAGGAGGACTGTGGGGTCCTTGGTGCTCTCTGAGCTTGGTTGTTTTTTTGCAAACGTTTCATGACCCAACTAGGGAACGCCATCAAGGCTAGAAGAGAGTGGGGTTTGCAGAGTGAAGGAGAAGGAAGACACCAGGGTGGTTGCCGCTCCCCGAGCAAAGCTGGTTTTCTGCAGACATTTCCTGGCCCAACTAGGTAATCTCATCAATGCTAGAAAGGAGTGGGGTTGGTTCTCGTGATCTTTTACTTACTGATGATGTTCCCTAGTTGGGTCATGAAACGTCTGCAAGAAAACAAGCAAGCTCAGGGAGCACCAAGGACCCCTCGTTTATACCTAGATATATACCGCACACAAACGTAGCCCAGCGGCTTCGTTGAATGGCCGTCCCCGTCCTTTTTGACGGGTTCAACCTACCAAGATCACCCCCAGGCTCCAGAGATCGCAAGATTCATCGTAGCCTCCATCCTGCAAAAGTTCGGGGGCCGCGTACTGGAGGGTGAAGCAGGGGGTCTGCATGGGCTGCGAATTCTGAGGGCAGAGGCGGGCAAAGCCGAAGTCGATCACTTTCACGGGGGCGCCCTCCGACTCGTCCGCATAGAGAATATTCTAGGAGCAAAGTCACAAAAGAATCACAGGTAGTCCTCGACTTACGACACTTCGCTTAGCGACTGTTTGAAGTGGCAACGGCGCAGAAAAAAAAGACGACCTAGGACCGTTTTTCCACACTTACGACCGTTGTTTATACCGTCACGTGGTTTATATTCAGACGCTTGACAACTGATTCGCACTTACGACGGTTGCGGCATTCCTTTGCGACCTTCGGGCAAGCAAAGGAAGTGGGGAAGCCGGATTCGCTTAACAACCGTCCGGCTAACTTAATGACTGTCGTAAAATGGGACAAAGAAATTTCTCGCTTAGCGACATAAATCTTAGGCTCAATTGTGGTCGTAAGTCGAGGTCTAGCTGCATTGTTAATCCTCGAGGACACAATTGGGGAACCCCGCTTTCGTGGCCTACCCTACAAATCTAACATAGTTTGCTGCAAGATGGCTAATTGATTCAGACACAGTTAGGCTGGGGTCCGACAAGGCACAATGGGCATAGGAATTTCCATCGCAAGTCCCAAGTCGTCATAAGCTGAATCGTGAAAAGGGCCTCCGTCTTTTCCTAGCGTACCTCGGGCTTGAGGTCCCGATGCACCACTCCCGAGTCGTGCATGAAGCTGACGGCGGAAACCAAGCTGCGCATGATCTGGCTGGCTTCCGACTCGCTGAAATGTTGCTTCTTCTTGATCCGGTCCAGGAGCTCCCCGCCCCTCAGCAATTCCATCACCAGGTACGTGTGGTACTATGGACAAAGAAGGACAAAAAGGTACTCAACGGCTTTGAAACTCATCAAATTGACTACTAGACGCATTTAAAACACGGACAATTTTGTCCCGGTACTCATAGTTGGTTTAGTACCCGATGCACAAGCTATAACTTGTCGAAGCCGGCTGCCCTGTGACTCACTATATGATTCCTTACGGGAACAATTTGTTTGGTACACTCCCTCACACACACAATTTCATCTTGCCTTGGGCTGACCTCTGAGGAAGAAGCTGGGGAGCCGTCCAAGGGAGACATGACAAGTTACTCATCGTTTTTGGTACTCATCGCGCCTCCCAGAATCAATCAATGATGAGTGCCGAGATACCCAGGGATGGGATTCAGCCGGTTCGTGCGAACTGGATGTTAATTTTAATCTGGTTCACCGAACCGGTTGTTTGAAGGACTGGCTGGCCCCGCCCACCCTGTCCCGCCCATCCCAGGAGTCTCCACACATCCCGTTTTAGATGCCAGGTAAGTGCAGGCCGTGAGCGGAGGCTCTGGGAGGGCGAAAAATGGGCCATCCGGAAACGGGCCCATTTCCGGTCTCCAGAGCCCGGGGGGACGTTTTCGTCCTCCTGGAGACTCCAAGAAAGCCTCTGAAGCTTGGGGAGGGCGAAAAACGGGCCTACCAGAAGTCCGGAAACAGGGCCATTTCCAACCTCTGTGGGGAGGGGGGGGCGCATGAAGCAAACCGGTTGTTACAACCGGTGAATCCCACTACTGGAGGTATCCCTGTAAATGTGATAAATTGTGACGAGCCATATACTAATGTCTCTCCTTAGTTTTCACACACACACACCCCACAACAACAACCCTGTGAGGTAGGGTAAGCCCTAGATCAGGGGTGTCAAAGTGGTGGCCTGCGGGCTGGTTGTGTCACAGGCAGGCCACGCCGACCCCAGCTCCGCAAAGGCAAGAAACGTCACGATATGTCCACGTGACGTCCACGTGACACGGCGAGTTTGTCACCCGTGTCCTAGACCAACAGGCCAGTCCCAGAGTCCCATAAAAAGCTTCCGTGTCTGAGGATGGACTTCAATTAGGGTCTCTCCAAATCTCAGGATCCAACCCCTTCATCCTTAACCAGGTTAAGGTTTCTCGAGATCTTTCCTCTCCGAGAACGAGGCTCCTCACCTGGTCGTGATGAACGTCGTGAATCTTGACGATGTTCGGGTGGGTTTCGCAGATCTGCAGCGCCGCCACTTCTCGCTGGGTGTTGACTTCCATCCTGCACCGGGGGAAAAAGGAGGAGAAAAGATGCCACTGTCCATCACAGCCGATTCCACGACTATATTAAGTCCTTTTTTCGTTGTTGTTGTCGCCTTTGCAACCCAACCCCATCATTCCTCCCTCCATTTTCCGCGCAACACCAGTTTTAACCTGGCGACAGCCTCTTCGGCTAGCTTAGCAGCACTGCTGACCTGACCTTCCTACCCAAAAGGTCTAGAATTCTTAAATTCCAGGGATTCGAACACGAGTCCAATCAGGAGCTAAAAAGTTTCCTCAAATCTTCCCACGCCGTGTGGTCGTGTTCTCATCGACGCGGGGGAGCAACAGGATTGAAAATGGATTCCCCCCCTCCCCCTTGCTGGGTAATATTAATAGCCAAGGCCACCCACTTAAATCTGGCTCAAGATTTGACGGCGTCTTTAGCAGTATAGACGAAATTTCAGCTGTTGCAGGCTTGAATTAGCAAAACACCAGTTTAGGGCCTTTGTCCCTTTAAAAGGCGGAACGTTCGAAGGCATTTCCGATTGGCTGCTTCCATCGGTCCCTCCTGATTGGCTGAGGCCATGTGTATAAATGCCCTCCCCCCCTTGCTCACAGACTCCCTGAGGCGTTTCGCGTGCTGCATCCGAGCAGGAGTTTCTGGGCCAGAAATCCAAGATCGACCCGGCATAAAAAGAACAAAAAATAATGAAATGAAATGAAATATAAAATAAATAAAATACTAAATAAAATAAGAATAAAAATATAAAATACAATACAAAATAAAATAAAATAAAATACTAAATAATGTAATAAATATAATAAATATAATATATAAAATAAATAAAATAATAAAATAAAATATGGAAGAAATATGAAATATAAAATAAAAATAAAACATAAAATCTGAAATCTATAAAATAAAATATAACATAAATCTAAAATATATCCAATAATAAAATGGAACCTTTCTGGATGGATGAGGCTAGCTAGGGGAAAAAACCCCTTTGGAGAAAGGATATAAAATGAAAATTTGCTACCTTTTGCTGATGATTTTAACCGCAAATTCCGTCCCGTTTTGCCGATGTCGGCAACGGCGACACACAGAGAAGCTTCCCTCGCCCAGGGGCGGCTCCAGCAAGTCCATCTCATATTTTTGGAAGAACGAAGAATCCTGGGAGAGGGGAAGAAGAAGAGAGAAGGGAGGGAGTTAATAAGCAAGAAGGTTGAACCTTGCTCTCAGCATTGCAAGTAGAATCGCTTAATTTGGCTTCTAAATGACCTCAAAGGCTTACAAACTCTGTGGATCCAATTAATACCTCGCCTATCACGAAAACTTTTGACTTTCCTGAAAGGCTGCTGATTTTCTCCCCGTAGTCCTTGACTTACAAGCGGAATTCACTCCAAAATTACGGTCATAAGCCCTGGCAGTCATTAAGCAGGTCGTAAAGCCAACGGGGCGGAGTCAGATTCCCTTAACAGCTGCGTTACCAACATAACAACTAGGGTGATTCGCTTAACAACCGGCGGCACAAAAGCTCATCAAATGAGGCAAAATTCCTTTAGCCGACGTTTCCCTTAGCAACAGAAATCGGGGGCTCTATGGTGGTTGTAATTCGAGAACTACCTTTACATCAATAAGACCCGGGAAACTTTTCAAGGCCCCGTTCACACATCCTATCAGTGTTCGAAGCGAGTTGCGTCAACCCAGTCCCCCCAGTTTGTAAACTAGAATTTTCCATCATGGTATATTAAGTGATTCCAGACACGCCCCTCCCCCCCCCCCGGTCCACGAAATTTGCCCCAGTCTTCCTACAGATTCCTGCTTCTCCTTCGGCGGATAATTCCCCCTTACCTTCATCATGGCACTGCGGGCTACCGCAGACCTTCCGGGACGCTCCCCGTCGGACGCCGCCTCAAGTACATCAGCGGTCACAGCATTACGGTTGAAGAGAATTGACGGGGCGATGAAGGAATATCCCTTTTTGGAAAGAAAAACCAGAGACGGCATTGCGATCGCCCAGCCTCGGAGAGAAATGCATTTCAAACAGTTTATTTATTTATTTATTTATTGGTTCGATTTATATGCCACCCTTCTCCGGAGACTCAGGGGGGCTTACAATGCGTTAAGGAATAGCCTTCATACTTTTGTATAGACCTGCTTAGTAGGGCTTTCGGCCTCTCCCTAAGCCTTCTTTTTCTTTTTCTTTTTTATACAAAGTCAGCTTATTGCCCCCCACAATCCAGGTCCTCGTTTTACCTACCTCGGAACGATGGAAGGCTGAGTCAACCTTGAGCCTGGTGAGATTTGAACTCGCAGTCATTGCAGGCAGCTGGTGCTATTTAACAGCACTTTAGTCTGCTGCACCACCAAGACTCTTTGTTGTGGGAATTCGGTACATCTAGTCCAGTGATGGCTAATCTTTTTCTCTTCGTGGGCCAAAAGTGCGCGTGCTGGCACCCATAATACAATGCGTGCCTCCCGTGCATGCGCGCACGCTACCCCCCTCCACGCATGCGCACGCAACCCCCCCCACGCTCCCCCGTCCCCCATGCAGGTGTGCGCGAGAGGCGGGATTCAAAAACTTTAGCAAACGGTTGTCTGCCCAGTCTGCTGGGTGGGCGTGGCCATGGTGGGTGTGGCCTACTCGACCTCATGCACCGCAGCGGGGGGTCATTTTTGCCCCCCCTCCCCAGGGTCAGGAGGCTTTCCTCGAGCCTCTGGAAGGGCGAAAATGGCTTCTCCTGAGCTCCGGAGGGCAGAAACGGGCCCATTTCCGGACTTCTGGAACTTCCGGGAGGCCTGTTTTTCACCCTCTCCAGGCTCCACATGGGCCCTGCACTTACCTGGCATCCAAAATGGGCCGCGTAGAGACTCCTGGGAGCCTCCTGGGCCCAAAAATGGGTGTGCAGGGGGTGGGGCACATACACACGCAACTTCCACATGTGCCCCGCCCCGTGCACATCCCAAAAATCAGCTGGCTGGTGGGAGGTGCGTGCACGCACGCGCAGCGGAGCTAAACTGGCCGATGGCTCGTGTGCCCACAGAGAGGGCTTGCGTGCCAGCTGTGGCACATGTGCTATAAGTTTGCCATCACAGGTGTAGTCTAACGAAGGGAAGAATTTAAGGGGATATGAAAGCCGCCTTCCAATATTTGAGGGGCTGCCACAAAGAAGCGGGGTGGGGTGGGGTGTCGGCCTATTCTCCAAAGCACCAGAAGGCAGGATGAGAAGCGACGGATGGAAACTAACCAAGGAGAGAAGCGACCTGGAACTCAGGAGGGATTTCCTGCCTAAGCAGAGGGTTGGACTAGAAGACCTCCGAGGTCCCTTCCAACTCTCTTTTTCTGTATGTTGATTTGCACAAATCCGCAAAGCACAGAACCACAAGGCTGACATCAGACCATGCGTCTTCCATCTTCCTACCATCGCCGTCATTGTATTTTTCTGACCCCACTCGCCTTTCGTTGGGTGAATCAAAATTTGCTGGGTGAATCGAGGACCCAAATTTTGATCACATAATAATCCCCCAAAGGAGGCTGCAATGGTCGTCAGTCCATCATTAAGTCACATTTTTCAGTGCCCTCTTGTAACTTTGAGCGGTTGCTAAATATATGATTGTACGTTCGAGAGGATTGCCCCTGTGGGCATTCTCACGCAGAAGGTGAGCAATCAAGCATCTCTTTGAACTATTAAGAGAACCCCAGTTCTCGGGGTGTCATTTTGCCCAAAGGACCCCTGAAATTTCACCCCCAGCTGCAAGAGAACTACACACCGTTGCTGGCCGGTTGCTAAGGAAAAAAAGGAGGAAGTTTGAAAGAACATTTTGAAACTTGCCAAGCCAAAAAAAAAAATCTAGTCCTCCAAGATGAAAAAAAAAAAACCCTATTTTTATTCTGTCTTTGCAGATGAGTAAGTTCATGCAAGGCACTTCCTGAAATGATTTTTAGATCGCGAAAGTAAAAAAACCACCTGGTTTCAAAGCGAAAAACCACAATTTTTCTGGCCTCTTTTTAACCGCTCGGAAAGATCTTTTCAAAAAAAAAAAATCTCCAATCTCTTCCTTCTCCCTACGGCTTATGTTCATTTAATTCTCCCGCGTTCCAGTAATTTTGTGGCCCCTTGTCCAAGAAGTTTTGAATACGTAGAGAAATAACAATTTGGACCGATTAATTTTAAATTTTATAGCCTTGAACTTACACTTACAAACCCCCCTAGCCAAGCCTACCCAGCCGGTCATTAGGGCAGAGAACCAGTTGTTAAAAAACACCAGGAACCACAAAATCCTTTTGATATATCTCCCTCTCCCCTCCCTCCCTCTTTCCCCCCTCTCCCTCTCTCTCTGTATCTCTCTATGTCTCTCTCCCCCTCTCTCTGTATCTCTATGTCTCTCTCTCCCCCTCTCTATCTCTCTATGTCTCTCTCTCTCCCCCTCTCTATCTCTCTATGTCTCTCTCTCTCTCTCCCTCTCTCTATCTCTCTATGTCTTTCTCTCCCTCTCTCTCTGTATCTCTCTATGTCTCTCTCCCCCTCTCTCTGTATCTCTCTATGTCTCTCTCTCTCCCCCTCTCTCTGTATCTCTCTATGTCTCTCCCCCCCTCTCTCTGTATCTCTCTATGTCTCTCTCTCTCCCCCTCTCTCTGTATCTTTCTATGTCTCTCTCTCTCCCCATCTCTCTGTATCTCTCTGTCTCTGCCCTGGCTGCTTCTCCCATCCCCCGCCGTCGCCCTTGCCTTCTCAGGCCAGGTGAGGAGTGACTGGGAGGGGAGGGTGAGGGGCGGGGCCAGCCAGTGGTGGGATCACCTGACAGGGAGCCACAGCAGAGGGCCCAAAGAGCCACATGCGGCTCCAGAGCTGCGGGTTGCTGACCCCTGGGTTAAACGAACCCATTGTTTGTTATTTTTGTTAGTTTTGCCATAAACCTTATTAAGTGCTGGGTTTTTAAAAAAAAAAAAAAATCATAAAATGAGCTCTGCCATCTGCAACACCTATGGAAATAATGGCATTTGGGGGGAACGCACCTGGAAGACACGGTCTAGGCTGGGAGGGGTCCCAGCCGGAGAGTAGATGGGCTCCAAGCTGGTGAATTCTTCGGCAAAGTTTCGCACGTCCAACTCGTGACGAATGAGGGGTTTAAACGGCGGCCTGATCCGGCGCGCAGCTAATTCAACCCAGTCCAAGACCTGGAGGGGGATAAAAATAATTGGAGAGAAGATATAACTAGACTGCAGAGAGAAACCAGCTCAAATGTTGCTCAATCTCGGCAATGTCAAGATTGGTGGACTTCAAGTCCCAGAATTCCCCAGCCAAGATGCTTGCTTGCTTATTTATTCATTCATTCATTCATTCATTCATTCATTCATTCATTCATTTTATTGGATTTCTATACCGCCCTACTCCTGAAGGACTCAGGGCGGTGAACAGCCACAGAATAAAACGCGTAGATACAAAATTTAAAATAGAATAAAAACGAATTAAATAATTTGGCTGAGACAAATTTAAAATACCCAATAATTTAAAAACAAATTAAAATGTACATTTAAAAGGGGAGAAGGTTTAGGCCAGGCCAGCTTGATGAAATAAGAAAGTCTTGAGCGTGCGAAGGAAGGTGCGCAGATCCGGGATCCTCCGTATCTCCGGGAGAAGCTCATTCCAGATGGCGGGTGCCCCCACAGAGAAGGCTCTCCCCCTAGGGGCCGCCAGTCGACCTGGTTTGGCCGACGGCACCCGGAGGAGCCCCTCTCTATGGGAGTGTACTGGCCGGTGGGAGGCTATTGGTGGTAGCAGGCTTGAAGATGATTGGACTTCAACTCCCAGAATTCCTCAGCCAGCATGCTTTAAGAGGGGTGAACTTTGACTCCCAAAATGCTAGCTAGAGGATTCTGGGAGTTGAAGTCCACACACCTTAAAAATCACTGAGGTTAAAAGACCCCTGCTTTAAACAAAGATAAAGCCCCAACAAAGCACAATAAAATCAGGCGTTGCGCAGTGACAATCGGTTGTCTCAATCCAATTCTCTGAGAAAGGACTCAGGAGGGAAAGGCTGGTCAGGAATCAACCCTGCTCAACGTCTCCAGGACTTGTAAACCTTACCCTGAAGAAGGGGTGCTCTTTAATCTCCTGGGCCCCCATTGGGCCGGACCCCAAGCGTTTCTTGGGGTCTTTGCACAGGAGCTTCTGCAGGAGGTCGCGAGCCTCGTGGCCGATCAGCGACGGGAAGGGAGGGCTGCACTTCAGGATCCGTCTAGAATAGCAATAGCAATACCACTTAAGACTTATATCCCGCTTCACAGTGTCTCACAGCCCTCTCTAAGCAGTTTACAGAGTCAGCTTCCTTGCCCCCAACAATCTGGGTCCTCATTTTAATGACCTCGGAAGGACGGAAGGCTGAATCAACCTTGAGCCGGTCAGGATCGAACTTCCTGGCAGAATTAGTCTGCAATTCTGCTAACAGACAGGAAGGAAGGAAGGAAGCAATAGACTTCCTAGTGTCTCAGCCCTCCCTAAGCGGTTTACAGAGTCAGCATCTCGCCCCCAACAATCTGGGTCCTCATTTTACCCACCTCGGAAGGACGGAAGGCTGAGTCAACCTTGTGCCTGGTGAAGATTCGAACTGCCAAATTGCAGGCAGCCGGCAGTCAGCAGAAGTAGCCTGCAGTACCGCCCTCTTAACCGCTGCGCCTCCAAGTGCTCAAGAAGTCGGAAGCAGCAGGGAAAAATTCCTTTTATGTCTATAAAAATGTCCCCTCCTGGCCCTTCATCTGTGCCGGGCCTGATTACAGACCTTCCGCTGGTTTGTGGGTACCCAGCAAGGAGCCATTCAAATACCACTTTTTAATTTTTTGGGATGCTTTTTGCTTAGATTATTATTATTTTTTTCTCCCTGGGAATCAAGTTACGTCCGTCGACCTCACGGCTCTCTTTCTCCCACACTTCCATCGCTCTTATATCTAGATTGGTTTTGCCCCTAATTTCATCGGCTACCTGCCCCCCCTCCTCATCTCCCCAAACCTTCCAGTTGCCCCACCTCACCTGGACACCTCCGCTTGCGAGTTTTTCTCCCCTTCGAGGGTAAAAGGAGACGCGCCAGTCAGGAGCTCAAAAACCAGGATTCCCAAACTCCACCAGTCCACAGACTACAAGGGAGAAGAGAGAGAAAAAAAGGGGGGGGAAACTCAGGACTGAACCGGTACAATACAGGGGGTCCTCCACTTACGACTGTCCGTTTAGCAACTGCTCGAAGTTATAACAGCATTGAAAAAAGGGGCAGAAGACCGATCCTCACGCTTATGACCAGGGGTGGGCTTCAAAAATTTTAGCAAGGAGTTCTCTGCCTGGTTGCTGGGTGGGTGTGGCCATGGTGGGCGTGGCCTAGTCAGCCTCCTGCACCATGGTGGGGCGGGGGGGTTGTTTTTGCCCTCCCTGGGCTCCGGAGGCTTTCCTCAAGCCTCCGGGAGGGTGAAAACAGCCTCCCCAGGCCCCAGAGCCTCTCTGGAGGCCGGAAACGGGCCCTTCCCGAATTTCCTGTAGGCCCGTTTTTCGCCCTCCCCAAGCTTCCCTGTGCTCCCTGCACTTACTTGCATCCAAAACAGGCCGCGTGGAGACTCCTGGGAGGGGAGGAGCGGGCGTGGCCAGCCAGGAGTGGGATTTGGGGGTTCTCCAAATTGCACAGAATCTTAGCTAGAGGTTCTCCCGAACCCCTTATGACTCACGACATGGTCACACGATGAAAATTTGGGCACTGGGCAACCCAGCATGTATTTATGATGCTTGGAGTGTGCTGGGGTCACGAGATCCCCATTTGTGACTTTCCCTGCTGGCTTCCGACACTCAAAATTAACCGGGGAAGGGAGGGGAATCTGGATTCATTTAACAACTGAAGGATTCATTTAACAACTGTGTGATACGTTTAACAACTGGCAAAAGCAAGGTCATAAAAATTGGGATGATTCCCTTAACAACCGCGTTGCTTAGCAATGGAAAAGTTGGTCCCAATTTTGGTTGTAAGTCGAGGACTGCCTGTACTCTTCTTTGCTTTCTTCCCCTTGTTCCCCCTAAGATATGTCTCCGCCTCTACTAGAAAAAAACTTTCCCTTCGCCACACTGACTTTATCAAAAGCTACTGTGCAGATAATTAATTCTATTCTTAGAAATTAATTCTAAGAATTCTATTCTATTCTATTCTATTACCGCCTCCTTTTTCCCCCCGATACGTGAGAAAGCTGTTTTCCGGGCTCCGGTCTGTGGCGGAGAATTTTATGCCAACCTTCCTTCTCACCTTGCCGTGTCCACTTTTGCTGCGTACAATCTCGGGGGCCATGTATTCGATGGTGCCGCAAAATGAGAAGGTCCGTTCTTTCTGTGGCAAGGGGAAAGAAAAAGAAAAGGAAGGAAGGAAGGAAAGAGAAGAGAAAGAAAGAACGAGGAAGGGAGAAAAGAGAAAGAAAGAAAAAAGAAAAAAGGAAGGAAAGGAAAGAGAAAGAAAGAAAGAAAAAGGAAGGAAGAAAAGAGAAAGAGAAAGAAAAAGAAAGGAAGAGAAAAAAAGGAATAAAGAAAAAGAGAAAGATAGAAGGAAGGAAGAAGGAAAGAAAGAGAAAGAAAAGAAGGAAGAAAGAAAGGAAGGAAAGAGAGAAAGAAAGAAAAGAAGGAAGATGGGAAGAAGAAAAAGAGGAAGAGGAAGGAAGGAAAGAAGGAAGAAAGGAAGGAAGAGAAAAAAGGAAGGAAGGAAGGAAAAGAGAAAGATAGGAAGGAAGGAAGAAAAAAGAAAGGAAGGAAAGAGAAAGAAAGGAGAAAGGGAACGAAGGAAGGAAGGATGAATTTTGATGACAATCAGTAAAGAGGCACATTTTGTGCAGCCGGAAGACTGAAGAAGAGAAGAAACCAGCAACCAGATCAGAATTGAGGATTATCTAATCCAGGGGTCCCCAAATTTGGCAACTTGTAGACTTCAACTCCCAGAATTCCTCAGCCAGCCATGAGGAATTCTGGGAGTTGAAGTCCACACATCTTCCAAATTGCTGGCAAAAGCTGCTCTTTAAATTCAAATCTTTATGGTCAGCGCACAACATATGCACAATGAGATTGGTTGAGCTCCCTCAGTGCACACACATCCCCAACACAATACAACTCACAGTGAAGACAGAAAATCCCTAACCCAATAAATCCCATTAACAAAAAACACCCGGTCCTATTGCACCAGTGCGAACATGTTACACGTTGCGCCGGCCCTGCAGTCTATCATACGACGTAGTTATGATGTTATTTCGCATTCCGGAGTCTGATAGCCCCCGGATAAAAAAAAACTGTTCTTTCGGCCTGTTTGTGCGGCTGGCTTCGCTTCTATATCTCCTTTCCCGACGGTAGGAGAGTAAAGCTGTGTTGACCAGGGTGAGAGTCGTCCCTGAGGATTTTCCTCACTCTCCTAAGGCAGTGAGCCCTAGTGGTATCAGGGGGCAGCCTACGATGTTTTGTGCTGTCCTCACCACTCTCCATAGTGCTTTTCTATCCTCGGCTGTCAAACCGGCATGCCACACCGGGATGCAATAAGTGAGAACGCTTTCTATTATGGACCGGCAAAAGGAGGTCACCAGTTATTGTTCCAATAATTGTTTTTACGCAAGATCCTTAAGAAATGGAGTCCCTGTTGAGCCTTCCTGGACACCTGGATCGTGTTGTTTTTCCAGGTGAGGCCTTCACTGAGATGGACTCCCAGGAATTTAAAGGAGGAGACTCTCTCTACGCAGCCCCCCTCGATGTAAAGAGTTCCTCTCTCTTCCTCCGGAAGTCCCAACACCATCTCCTTGGTCTTACCGATGTTTAGGGACAGGTTGTTTTTTTAAGCACCACGTGGGAATTTTTTAAACTCCTTTATTGAACCTTTATTCCCTGGAGCTGATTCTTTTTTCTTTTCTTTTTTAAGTTTTTTTGTTTTGTTTTTTGACACACAGACAGACAGACAGTGTATTTTTTTCTGAATAGAGTATTGGCCGGTTCACAAATTTAAACAATTTTTAGTCATTTCAACACAATTTGTATATTCCCCTCTTTGCCATAAAAATATGAACAAATTTAATTAGGGAAATTTGTAATAATTGGAAGGTGAAATGATACTGTCTTTTGAAATAAGTTAGATTGCGGTGAAAGTAGAAATGGTAAAAATTGGAATACTTTTAATTGCGTTGTTGGAGTTTATAAAATGACAAGTTCCAAAAATATAAATAACTTTAGGGAAATTGCAACAAATTGGAAGGAGAAATGATATTGTCTTTTGAAATAGTTAGATTGTGGTGAAAGTAGAAATGATAAAAATTGGAATACTTTTAATTGCATTGTTGGAGTTTATAAAATGACAAGTTCCAAAAATATAAATAACTTTAATTAGGGAAATTGCAACAAATTGGAAGGAGAAGTGATATTGTCTTTCGAAATAGTTAGATTGTGATGAAAGAAGAAATGATTAAGATGTTGTTTGAAGAGGTATAAATATATATCTTTGACAAAGTATTTGAAAATAAGAGATAAGATTTTAGGATATCAAGGAAAAAAACCTTATATAATTAATTGATTTTTTACTAAGATATTGGAGTATATGATTTGGAACAAGACTTAAGGAAATACATGGTATAAAATGTTTTTGATTTATTATCTTGATGTGAAATGAATGATTGTAATATTAGGAATGATGTTAAATGAAATTTCAAACTTAAGGGGTGTAATATAGAGAAGAAGGGAAAAATGGAATTTGGTTAAGATTAGAGTTAGGATGAATGGGTAATATAAAAAAAAAACATGAGCTGATTCTTCAAGCAATGCAGACTCAAACCAACATTTCTACTCAGTTCTGTCTAAACCCTAATCCCAGGAATCAGACAATCACAGATGCCGTTAAAGGAGCTTTCCCCACAATCCGAACTCACATCCTCTGTCACGAATTCCTTGCTCAGGCCGAAATCGGTCAGCACCACATGACCTTCGTTGTCCAGCAAGATGTTTTCCAGCTTCACGTCCCGATAAATGATGCCAAGCTGAGGAATGAGAAAGGCAGCTCTTTGGCCCCTTGTGTGCCAACAAAACCACAATCATCTGACAAGCTCAAACCCCCCCCACCACTATTTTGGCAGTCCTCGACTTACGACCCCAAGAACCAGTAAATTCATCGCGAAGCAGCGCAGTTGCTAAATGAGGCATCCCCGTCACCGCACCGATTTCACAACCTTTTAGAGGGGTTGTTAAATGAATCACCCACGGTCGTTAAGTGAGACATCGTATGACCCTGACTTGCGACCTTCCCTGCCAGCTTCCCCCATTTGGTTGTCGGAAGCCATCTTGGAAGGTCAGGAACGGTGATCCCAGGATCCCAGAACTGTCAATTGTGTGACTTTTGCCAAGTGCTTGAATCGCAGCGTTGTGGAGACGCGGCGATGGTCATAAATTTGAGGAGCGGTCATAAGCTGCTTTTTTTCTCCTCCAGTGCTGTCGTCACTTCCTTGTGTGTCCGTTCAAACTTGGCCAATAAAGAACTGGATTCTATTCCGTTCCATATTTTCTATTTCTATTTCTATTTCTATTTCTATTTCTATTTCTATTTCTATTCTATTCTACATTCTATTCCATTCCATTCCATATCTTCTATTCTATTCTATTCTATTCTATTCTATTCTATTCTATTCTATTCTATTCTATTCTATTCTATTCTATTCTTATTCTATTCTTATTCTATTCTGTTCTATTCTACATTCTATTCCGTTCCATTCCATATTTTCTATTTCTATTTCTATTTCTATTTCTATTTCTATTCTATTCTATTCTATTCTATTCTATTCTATTCTATTCTATTCTACATTCTACATTCTACATTCTACATTCTATTCTATTCTTTAGTTCAGGGGAGACGGGCGGCCTAGAAGATTTAAGCCATCCGTAAATGAAAGAGTTATCACCTTGTGGAGGTGTTCCAGCGCCAAAATGATCTCCCCGCTGTAAAACCGTACTTCCTCCTCCGAGAAATGGTCCCGTTGGTACAAGTGAGTGAACAGCTCACCTCCGCTCACGTAATCTAGGAAGGAAACAAACGGGAGAGGCTCGGATCGAACCCTTAGCGCTGGCCAATGTCCCCCACCCCCGCTCTCCAATTCCCCCCCCTCTCCATTTCTCCTCTCCCCACCTACCGAGAATCAGATGGAGCTTGGAATCCGTCTGGAAGGCATAATGCAGCGTCACGAGGAAAGGCGACTGGCGGACATGCTCCAGGACGGTCCGTTCGGTCCGCGTGTGCTCGGTCGTCTTGGCTTTGGCGACGATGGCCGCTTTGCGGAGCACTTTCATGGCGTAAAGCTTGTTGGCGTCGTGGCCAGTGAGTTTACGGACCAGGAACACCTTCCCGTAAGCTGAAGTGCAGAAAGAGAAGCAAGAAGGGGGGGGATGGGCTTAGCGGGTGGTCCTCGTTTCCCAACCGTTCGTTTAGTGACCAAAGTTACAACGGCACCGAAACAAGTGACTTACGACCGTTTTTCACCCTGACGGCCTTTGCGGCATCATGGGATCAAAATTAGGACGCCTGGCACCTTGCTCCTATTTATGACGGTGGCAGTGTTCCCGGGGGGGGGGGGGGGAAGTTGCGTGACCCCTTTTTGCAACCATCCGACTCACTCACTTAGCAACCGTGTTATTAATTTAACAACTGCAGTGATTCACGTCACCAAGTGGGGCGCGAAAGGTCGTAACAGTGAGGCAAAATTCAACTTTTAGCAAACGTCTCGGTTAGCGACGGAAACTTGGGGTTCGGCGGCAGCGGTAATTCATTTCCCTTCAAGCTCCGCTTTTCGATCCCTCCCGCTGAATTGGGAGTGAAAAATAAGCTTCCATTGCAAGATTCTTAATGGGTTTGGTTTTTTTTAATCAAAGGGGGGGAAAATGCTGTCTCTATCATTAGGCAGAGCAAGACAGGGAGGGAGGGAGAGAGAAAAAAAAAATTCTAGCTAAAAACCTTGTAACCATGGTTTGCACTTACCTCCGGTCCCCAGGACTTTGAGTAGTTCGAAATTTTCCATCCCCACTTTCTCCTCATCGTGCCCAGTTAAATTTGCTACGGGGGGGCGAAAGAGAGAGAAAAAACACGTGTGTTTTCCCGCCGATAAAAGAATCCAAAATTTTAAAATTTAAAAAAAAATAATTTTTTTAATTTAAAATATTTTAAAACTTTTTTTTTATCCCCAACCCGAGAATTTAAACCCGAATTATATTCCACGTACAATATCCTAACCTTGGAAATACAGAAATGCAGAGTTGGAAGGGGACACGCAGAGGTCATGCAGCCCAACCCTCTCCCATTTTTCAGGGCAAGATGATCGTCTCTGACCTCCCAGCCTGAGTTTTGAGGACTAGAATCTTTGCCAACGTTATTTGGATCCAGCTTCTTTTTCAAGCTGGGGCTGTTCCAAGTAAGCATTTAGTTCCAGAATTTATAGTCTCAAGGAAGAAAAAAAAATGATTTCACCATTCCAGAGAACAAGTCCTCAAACTTGCTCCAGGCTTCTGGGGAGCTCAGAGAAATCAAAATAACCAATTGCAAGAGGGAGGGGGGGGGAATGAAAATATTTAAGAGGGGGGTAGCACAGTTATCCCCTTTTATCCCCCTAAGCACGAGAATTGGCTTGGACGATTTGAAAAGATGCCTTCAAGAGAATTGTGAAACCAAACATACCTGTTTCTTTTTAAAAGCAACATTTTATTTATTTATGTATGAGAGGAGTGCCAAACCAGGGGAAATAATAAAGCTTTCAAAAAGTAAGCGACACAAAGTTTCCTTGAAAACAATATGAAAAAAAAGCACTTCAGATAAAGGAAAGGAAAGGAAAGGAAAGGAAAGGAAAGGAATAGAATAGAATAGAATAGAATAGAATAGAATAGAATAGAATAGAATAGAATAGAAAATATGGAATGGCATAGAATACAACAGAACAGAACAGAACAGAACAGAACAGAACAGAATAGAATAGAATATGGGATAGAATAAAAAATGGGATAGAATAGAAAATGGAACAGAATAGAATAAGAAGTAGCAAATAGAATAGAATAGAGTAGAATTATGGAATGGAATAGAATAGAAAATATAGAATAGAATAGAATAGAATATGCGATAGAATAAAAAATGGGATAGAATAGAAAATGGAACAGAATAGAATAAGAAGTAGCAAATAGAATAGAATAGAGTAGAATTATGGAATGGAATAGAATAGAAAATATAGAATAGAATAGAATATGGGATAGAATAAAAAATGGGATAGAATAGAAAATGGAACAGAATAGAATAAGAAGTAGCAAATAGAATAGAGTAGAGTAGAATTATGGAATGGAATAGAATAGAAAATATGGAATAGAATAGAATAGAATATAGGATAGAATAAAAAATGGGATAGAATAGAAAATGGAACAGAATAGAATAGGAAGTAGCAAATAGAATAGAATAGAATTATGGAATAGAATAGAATAAAAACATGGAATGGAATAGAATAGAATAGAATAGAATATAGAAAAGAGAAAAAAAGAAAAGAGAATATAATAGAATATAGAATAGAGTAGAGTAGAATTCAATTCTTTATTGGCCAAGTTTGATTGGACACACAAGGAATTAGTCTCCAGTGCATAAGCTCTCAGTGTACATGCAAACAACAAAGTGACAGGTCACAGATCATAAATCATAGTTGCAATCGTTCATCATAAGATACAAACAACAAGTGATACCAACTTTTATCAACAACATCTAGTACAGGCCTCTTGAAAGAAAAAATCAAAAGAATTCTTCAGCAGTGGGCTGCTCAAATAACAATTGCCACAAATAATAACAGTGCCCTTCTCCTGATATTCACACCATTCCTAGTGAACGCTAATCAGCGCAGCCTATTCTGTAAATCAGCTAAAAATAAATAAATACAGTACATTTGGTGTCCTCCACAACTTCCTAAAGTCCTCCAGCAATTCTCAATCTTTAGGGTCATGGTAATTAATTAACTAACTTTATTGGATTTAGAGGCTACCTGACTGCCCAGCGTTGGCATTTTGGCTTCAGCAGACTGAATTTATTATACAGGCTATTATTTCAGACATATTACAGTAGTTTTTTTTCCCCCCTGTAATCTTTAGCTTCAACATAATTTTTTAAAAAACATGTTAACTGCATCAGACCATCTTTTCCCAGCCTAGCGCAACCCTCTATCCCACTTTCCTGATTTATTAATTTTTTTGAACTAAATCAGGGATGGTCACACTAATTGGTAGTCCGTGAGAGGCAGTTTTTCAGCAGCTTTAAGCTGTGTAGACTTCAACTCCCAGAATTCCCCAGCCAATTTGCTTTAAGGTAGATGGACTTCCACTCCCAGAATTTCCTAGTCAACATATTTTAAAGATGGGTGGACTTCTACTCCTAGAATTCCCCAGCCAGCGTGCTTTAAGATATGTGGACTTCCACTCCCAGAATTCCCCAGCCAGCATGCTTTAAGATGAGAGACTTCAACTCCCAGAATTCACCAGCCAGTGTGGTGTAAAATATGTGGACTTCCACTCCCAGAATTCCCCAGCCAGCATCAGGACCGGATTTAGATGAAAAGAGGCCCTAGGTTATTCCACTTATGAGGCCCTTTCACCTATAGTGAAAGTGTAATTTTAATTTTGCTAACAATTTGAATGTAGGCCCCTCTTGATCTTGAGGCCCTAGGCTGAAGCCTAGTTAGCCTATAGGAAAATCCGGCCCTGGCCAGCATGCTTTAAGATGAGAGACTTCAACTCCCAGAATTCATCAGCCAGCGTGCGTAAGATATGTGGACTTCCACTCCCAGAATTCTCCAGCCAGCGTGGCTTAAGATATGTGGACTTCCACTCCTAGAATTCCCCAGCCAGCATGCTTTAAGATGAGAGACTTCAACTCCCAGAATTCACCAGCCAGTGTGGTGTAAAATATGTGGACTTCCACTCCCAGAATTCCCCAGCCAGCATGCTTTAAGATGAGAGACTTCAACTCCCAGAATTCATCAGCCAGCGTGCGTAAGATATGTGGACTTCCACTCCCAGAATTCTCCAGCCAGCGTGGCTTAAGATATGTGGACTTCCACTCCTAGAATTCCCCAGCCAGCATGCTTTAAGATGGGAGACTTCAACTCCCAGAATTCACCAGCCAGTGTGGTGTAAAATATGTGGACTTCCACTCCCAGAATTCCCCAGCCAGCATGCTTTAAGATGAGAGACTTCAACTCCCAGAATTCATCAGCCAGCGTGCATAAGATATGTGGACTTCCACTCCCAGAATTCCCCAGCCAGCACACTTAAAGTTATGTGGGCTGGTGAATTCTGGGAATTGAAGTCCACCTACCTTAAAAGTTGCTGAGAGTGAGAACCACAGGGGTAGGCTGAGCCAGGACATCCCACAGGACCCGAGGGGCAACCTTGACCCTCTTCATTGCCTCCTCATCATTGAAACCTTTGCTCACACCTAAGTTACACCTCCCCACCCAATTCCCTGGGAGTCACTCCGTTTCCGGGTAGCTGAATCACAGGTTAATCAACAGGCAGTCAAGCGGGCTCACACTTGCCCTGGGAGGCTAACCAACCCAAAGGGCCTCTTTCCCGACCCACACACAGGTACAAACACGGCCCTTGCTTAAATCTTTCCCGGCTGATGAGATCCCAGAAGGAGGTGTGGGTTTTCCCCACATTTTCTTCGATCCCACATCGACCGTTCCGATCAACTTCTCTGCGCGCCGCGTGCTTCAAATTAAAAATTTAAAAAATAGGGCCATTTTAAAACCCTTTCCTTCTCCTTCGGGGTCTCTCGAGCAAAATCATTCATCCACGCTAAAAGCAATCAGAAAGAAGAGGCCCACGCATGCACATTAGACGCCCATTCTGTGTGTGTGTATAATAGTTATCTTTTGAGAGCGGGGTGCAATTAAATTTTCATTTTAAATGTACGCAGATTAGCGTACATTTAAAGTGACAATCAAGTTTTGATCCTATTCTATTCTACCTTGGCTGCTCTTTTCTCATTACGATTTGCAAAAGTAGAATTTTTATCTATTTTTTTTTGCTCGTTTAAATTATTCTATCGAAGCCGTTGAAAAGGAGAAAATCCCAAATCCGAAAGAAATCCACTTTACTAGTCTGTTTCGTTCCGTAATCCATCTTTTCTCCTACCAAAACACTCAGCAAACACTTCCCACAAAGCAAAGTCCTCTCCTTACGTCTTCCCGGGGGCGTGCTGTTCTCAAAAGGTAGACTGCCCTGCTACCTGGAGGCTCCATTTCTGAAATGTTGACGGACAAAAATGCCACTAAGGCCGTATCGCTTAAAACTTCCTGGGCTTAAAAGGGCACGTTGAAAGTGCGTTTTGGGGCCACACTTATCGTGCCACGATCCAGATTTACGGTAATTTAAGGAGCGGAAATTTAAATCCTGGAAGGAGGGGGGGGGGTTGATTGACAAGCGAGGCAAATGGGGAGGTGTTGGGGCTCTGCATTGGGTATTCCTGTGCACCTGAGTTCAGACAACATATTTAAAGACACACACACACACCCGTCACCCGACGATTAAAGGAGCTGCATTCACACATGAATCAATTGAGCTAGGCTTTTGACAGCTGCAGACGGACAGAAAGTGGGTTCCTTGCACGCTAAGTGTGCTATCGGCTTATGTTTTTCAAACCTGGCAACTTTGGTGTGTGTGTGTGTGTACACACTTCCAACACCCAGAATCCCCCCCCGGCCAGCAAACCCACACACCTCTCACAGTTGCCAAGTTTTGGAAAACACAGATCTATAGGTGCTGCTGAGATCGCCCAGGGTTATACGGCCCAACCGGAAAATGGCCAAGGGAGACCTCCTTAATCTGCACCCCTTGGCAGCCAAAAAGAGGGGAGGGGGGGGGCTGCCTTAAGGCTCGACCCCAGCCCAGTGGGATTAGGGGAGGGGGCTCCTTCCCCTCTTTGCACCCCCCCACCCTTAATTTAAAGCCAGCCAACCCTGCCTTCCAAACATTACCCTACACAGTTCAGATACTGTAAGGATGTTCAGATGCTGAAGGCAGAGGGGGCGTTCAGACGTGCAACAACCCCCCTCCCCAAGAAACAGCCTTCTGCACCCCTCCCTCCCTCCCTCCCACCACCCACCTGCCGCCCGCCTGCAGGCGCCACGGCTGCTCGCTTGCTTGCTTGCTTGCTTGCGCCCCCTCCCCAGCCCGCCCCCACGTGCCAATCCCAGCGGGGGTGGGCTGGTGATTCAGAAAGACATATAAACCCCCCCCCTCCCACCACACACACACACACATATATACACGGGAGCCCGGGTTCCAGCTGGGCGGAGGGGCGGGGCTTGCATCCATGAAGGGGCGGGGCTTCCCCCCACTTTGAAAAATAACACTCGGCCAGGCCTGGCCAGCTAAAGCTTTTTTGCCAGGGTCGCCTGGCTAGCTCTGGTGGGTCTCCAGACCGGGTTGGTTGGCACTGCCAAGCGCCCTTGTCTTTTGGCCCGGCTCTGGGTTCCACTCCTGCTTTTGCAAAGCCAGAAAGAGGGAGGGAAAGGGGGAGAAGCAACTGGTGGCTGGAATGTAGATCTGGGGAGAGGGTCCCTATCCCCATATCACTCCTGGCCAGGATAGCTTCCCAAGAGAGGATGCCCGCGCCCTGCGTCTCTGAAACCCCCCTCCCCAATTCCCCTAATCTCTCTTCTACTGTGGCACCCAACAGATCCCCTTCCCGATCCCCTCTGATCCGGCTCCCACCCTAAAAAAGGAAGCCCCCCCCAACCCCTTCTCCATTGGCGCGCCCCGATCTCGGCCCGCTCTCCTTCCTGCGCCCCAAACTCCGCGGCCTTCCCTCCAGCAGATCCACGGTGTGTGTGTGTGTGTGTGTGTGTATAGTGGGGGGGGAGGGGAGATCCGGTTGTCACCCTGACATTTCAAAAACACCCCCCCACACCCCCATTTCTTGCACCCCCCACCCCCGATTTGGAGAGGCTCCAAGGGCGCGCGGTGCGCCCTAGGCGCGGCTTGGCGTCTCCAAAAGGTCCCCTTGCGCTCCAGCCGCGGGGAGCGGGGTGGTGGGGGGGACCCCCTTGTCCCGGTGGGATTCCCTGGCTCCACGATCTCGGGGTACCGTTGGTCAGGGGCAGCTCCACCGTCTCCTCCTCGGTGCCGTCCTCCATGGCCGAGGACCGTCTCTCCCTCCTCTTCCTCCTCCTCCTCCTCTCCTCCTCCTCCTTTCTTCCTTCCTCGCCTGTCTAGCGCTGCCTCCGCTCGCCTTACATGCTGTGCGGGCCGCACACGCTTCCTGGTGCAGCGAGCGAGCGGCCGCCGCGCCGCCTTCTCCTTCTCCTTCTTCTCCTTCTCCTTCTCTTTCTCCTTCTTCTCCTCCTTCTCCTTCTCCTCCAGGCCTGAGTCAAGAGGCAGGAATGCGAGAGGGAGCCCGGCAAAAGAGGAGGAGAGGAAGCGCAAAGCAAAAATAAAAAAATAATAATAAAAAAATCTGGGAACCCGCCCCGGGGAGGGCTACTACGGGACCCCCCCCCCTTTTCCTCCCACCTACCTACCCACTCACTCACTCACTCCCCGAAAGTTGCCTGCAGTTGTCACCCGCCGGAGAGGCACCCGCAAAAAAAAGCGCAAAAAGCGCAACGCCTTTTCCTAGAAGCCCCCCCTCTCCAACCCCACTTTGCCAACGCTACAGGTTTGTTTTTTTTTGGGTGGGGGGAACAATCGGAGCGCTTCTTCCCTCTCCCGTCTGCAGCTCCCCTCTCCCCCCCAACCTCTCCTTCCTCGGTGGGGAGGCAGTTTTGGGCCGCCTAGGGTCTGCTGCCTTGACCCCCCCTCGAAACAGGCCGAAGATACAGCTAACTCCTAGAAGGTAGAACATTAGAGACCCTTCCCAAGTTACAGAATAACAAGAGTTGTTATCCTTGGAGGTTGGTTGGTTGGTTGGTTATTTATTTATTTATTTGTTTATTTGTTTATTTATTGGTTGGTTGGTTGGTTGGTTGGTTGGTTGGTTGGTTCGATTTATATGCCGCCCTTCTCCGGAGACTCAGGGCGGCTTACAATGCGTTAAGCAATAGCCTTCATCCTTTTGTATATACCTGCTTAGTAGGGCTTTCGCCCCCCCCCCCAAGCGATGTTCTTTTTTTTTAATACAAAGTCAGCTTATTGCCCCCACAAACCGGGTTCCTCATTTTACCTACCTTCGAAAAGGATGGAAGGCTGAGTCAACCTTGAGCCTGGTGAGATTTGAACTTGCAGTAATTGCAGGCAGCTGGTGTTACTTTAACAGTGCTTTAGTCTGCTGCGCCACCAAGGCTCAAATACCTGACCAAGACATTCCACATGTCTGCGAGAGAGAATGAGCATTAAATCTTATTCAATTCATTTACCGTGAAAAAGCAAGGCCTAATATAATATAAAAATATACGTGGCATAATGCTGATCAACAAGTGGATATTACTTAGATTTTATGGTGCTATCTTAGGTTTCAATTTAAACAATACACCAGAGTGAAAAATTGGAATCATTTGCCTTTGTTCATGATTCTTTTATGTTGTGACAGCAATTTGATTAATATTTGTAAAAATCAAGAGCCTTCTATCTCCCACTGATGTTGAGGTTGCACGCTGCAGTGAATATGGGTTGGAGATGACGATTTTCAAGATTCTTTCCGATGATAATTCTATGACATAATGGCTCTCGTGATGAAAGGGCTCTTCTCCTCTTGCTGCTCCATTGGGTGCCACTCAACCACGTCCAGAGGGCGACCCCTATATATTTAGTCCAACCCCGTGCTCAAGCAGGCCCTATATATCATTTCAGACAAATGGTTGTCCGATCTCTTCTTCAAAACCTTCTTCTCCCAGTTCTCCCTCCCTCCATGACGCCCCCACCTCCCCTTTGGCTTCCTCTGGCCTGCCCGTTTCACCCGATTGCAGTAATAATAATAATAATTTAATAATAATTTTATTTCTATACCGCCCTTCTCCCGAAGGACTCAGGGCAGTGTTCAGCCAATTTAAAAACACAAGACACAACAATGATTAAAAATTAAAATAATTAAATAAATTTGGCCGGATTAAAACCCCCCAAATTTAAAATACCCCAATTAAAATTATTATGAATAGAATAGTAACAGTCACAGAGTTGCGAGGGACCTTGGAGGTCATCTAGTCCAGCCCCCCTACTCACGCAGGAGACCTGTACTAGGGATTCGAACCACCGAACTGCCGACCTTTCTGATCGACAAGCTCAGTGTTTTAGCCCCTGGGCAGAGCAGAATAGAATAGAATAGAATAGAATAGAATAGAATAGAATAGAATAGAATAGAATAGAGGATAGGATAGGATAGGATAGGATAGGATAGGATAGGATAGGATAGGATAGGATAGGATAGGATAGAAGAATGGAATGGAATGGAATGGAATGGAACGGAATAGAAGTTGGAAGGGACCTTGGAGTCCAACTTCTAGTCCAACTCCCAAGTGAGAAGAGATGGGGAGAAGGAACAATGAGAAGATTAATAGTAATAGTAATGCAGACTTAGTAATAGTAATAGTAATGCAGACTTAGTGAATAGTGAATAAAATAGAGAATAGAATAGAGAATAAAATATAGAATAGAATAGAATAGAATAGAATAGAATAAAGGATAGAATAGAATAGAATAGAATAGAATAGAATAGAGAGGAGAGGAGAGGAGAAGATAAAACAGAAGGGAAGAGAAGGAAGAGAAGAAAAGAGAAGAGAAGAGAAAATCACTTTGTTAATATTACAGGAGTTCAAAGTCATTTCAACAGGTTCCTTCCCTTAACGTGCAAAAGTTGACTTCTGAAAAAGAAGTGATTTCCCATCCCCCAGAATAGAATAGAATAGAACAGAACAGAACAGAACAGAACAGAACAGAACAGAACAGAACAGAACAGAATAGAATAACAGAGTTGGAAGGGACCTTGGAGGTCTTCTAGTCCAACCTCCTGCTTTTGGAAAACGAAGTGGGCCTGTTTTCCACACTCTACTCTTTTAAAGATTCCGTTCTCTGTGGTTGAAAAGGGCCAGGGAGAAATTTGCAGAGAAGCTGCAGGGATCATTCTGAACGCAACGCTTAACACTTCTTAAAACAGGAAGGAAGTTATTTGTGCAAGAAAAAAAAAAACGAGCAGACAATTCTCCCCTCTTCTAAAAGTCCGTGATGGGAAGCAGAGAAAGACACTCTGCAATTTAGAGTTACTTCGAAAGTTTGGTTTTTTTTTTTTTTCCTCACACTTCCTCTTTCCTGGACTTCACAAAATCTTATTTAAGCCTTCCCCCCCCCCCATTCTTCCCTTCATTGATTCGCTGCAACCCCCCCCCCCCACCACCACCTCCTTCCCTATGTCTGCAGGCACAGCAACTTAAGAGAGGAAACGGGTGCAGCTTTAAATAAAATCTCCTGTCCATCAAACTCAGCTCAGAGCCACATCTGGTGTTTTTTCCTTAATTGCACTTGTCGGGTGAATTTTGGGGGGTGGGATTTGCACCCAGCACCCCTAAATTTGTACCTTCCAGCTGCATCGCTGGCAGAATTCTCAGACGAAAGGATGGCTGTAAGGTAGGAAATTATAGCGAGATCTTTCTCACCTTATAGTAGGGGCGGGTATCGGGTTGAATATAACAGAATCACAGAGGTGCACGTGTCGATACAAGTACTCCTCGTCTTACAACAGTTCATTTAGTGACCGAAGTTACAACGGTGCTGAAAGAAGGGACTTAATGACTGGTTTTTTTTCACACTTTTGACCATTGCAGCGTTCCCTTGTAGGAAAAAATCTCCTTCTGGGTTCTGCTCCAAGTGGAGAAAATGACACTGGAAACATGGAGACTGCTTGGAAAGATGGTTTAATGGTGGACAGGGATCACATGGCTTGAGTTCCTGAACAGAAAAAAAGGGCAGATACAGCGAGTTTTCGGGTTTTATGTTCTCTCTGGCTTTGAACTTCCTGGGGCCCAGAAAGAGTATCCTGATTGGTTGTCAGACTTCCAGGGGCTGGGGGTCTTAGCTAGCCTTGCTGGCTGATGTAATCTTCCCAGGTGCCATGTGGTGAGTTTCTGTCCTAGATGGGTCCCATTGTGTTGCAGATGATGGTCCTTTGACAAAGATTGAGTTTCTGCCTCTGACCCATTAACAAAAGGGCGGGGGCAGGAAGGTGGGAGGCAGGAAGCTGCTTTTCTTTGAAAACATGTTTCTCCATTTCTCATCCAGGGAAATATAATATTCTGCCTTTTTAATATTTCCCAACATATTTCATTCTTCTAGGAAAGGGGTGGGTGCTAACTTCCTACACCCTACAGTCACGTGATCAAGATTTCAGGTTCTTGGCAATTGGTTCCCATTTATGACAGTTGCAGGGTCACGTCATCCTCTTTTCCGACCATCGGGCAAGCAAAAATCCACGGGGAAGCCAGATTCCCTTAAACAACCGTGTCGCTAACTTAATAATGCTGTGATTCCCTTAACAAACGAGAAAAGTCGTAAACTTGGGCAGAACTCACTTAACCAATGTGTCACTGAGCAACAGAAATTTGGGGCTCTGTTGTAGTCGGAAGTCGAGGAATAACGTGGGCAGGAATAACAAGTGCTAGAAGGGAGGTCTTCTGGTTCAACCCCCTGCTCAAGCAGGAGATCTTATTCCCGTGATGGTGAACCTATGGCATGTGTGCCACAGGTGGCACTCGGTGCCATATCAGTGGGCACGCAAGCTCAGCTCCCGCCACCTGATTTTTGGGCCTTCTGGGCCACCAGAAGTAGGGAAAACAGGCTGTTTCCAGCCTCCGGAGGGCCTCGGGAGGGTGGGGAAGGCCCGTTTTTTGTTTTCCCCAGGCTCCAGAGCCTTTCTAGGAGCCTGGGGAGGGCAAAAATGGCCTCCTTCTCCCCCGCCCCCGGAAACCCTCCAGAGGCCGGAAAGTTGGCAAACGGGCCATTTCTGGCCTCCGGAGGGCCTCCATGGGGGTGGGGAAGGCCATTTTTGCCCTCCCCAGGCTCCTAGAAAGGCTCTGGAGCCTGGGGAGAGCAAAAAACGGGCCCAACGTGCCATCGTGTGCCAAAAGCGGTGGGAGTACAAAGGGGCCATGCGCAGGGGGCGGGGTGCATAGCCCCCCATACTCCTGCTTTTGGCACATAATGGCAAAAAGGTTAGCCATCACTGCCTTATACCATTCCGGACAAATGATTGTCCAGTCACTTCTTTAAAAAACCCGGTGATGGGGAAGGAAGGGAAGGAAGGAAGGAAGGAAGGAAGGAAAAACAAGAGTTGGAAGGGACCTTGGAGGTCTTCTAGTCCAACCCCTTGCTCGAGCAGGAGACCTTACACTATCCAGTCTCTTCTTGAAAATCTCCAGTGTTGGAGCCCCCACAATCAACCATGCCCCCCCCAAAAAAATCATAAATTACCATAACATTTTATTTATTCATGATTTATGTATTTACATTCAATTGTGGGTCCCCCCCCTCTCCCGTCTTGCCATAGGCAAGATTTGCACTGACCACACACACACACACAAAAAAGCCGGTTGATTAGCAGCCTTTGAAACTCCTTGCCACAAGAAGGAAACCCAGAAAGAACGGGGTTGAAAGTCCACAGGGGGTTTGTTTGTTTGTTTGGTTGCAAGAGTAAAAAGGATCCAGTAGATTCCAGCAACTCGTGCCCACCGGCCCAGACTGGAAGGCCTTGTCGTTTTCGCGCAGGGTTGTCGCATATCTTTCAGGAAACGGGACCTAGTTTGTGCGTCACAAGAGGCAGTTTGAAGTTTGATCCTCCTCGCCCGGCGGCCGTCCTAAAAGGAATGCACACTCGTGCGTGATTCGGAATAACGGAGTTGGAGAATAATGGAATAATGGTACAGTGGTCTAAGGCACCCTGTTATTAAGCTGGTTATTAAGACCAGCTGCCTGCAATTACTGCAGGTTCGAATCTCGCCAAGGCTCAAGGTTGACTCAGCCTTCCATCCTTTCTAAGGTAGGTGAAATGAGGACCCAGTTTGTGGGGGCAATAAGCTGACTTTGTATAAATATACAAAAGGATGAAGGCTATTGCTGAGCACATTGTAAGCCACCCTGAGTCTCCGGAGAAGGGCGGCATATAAATCAAATTTAAAAAAAAATAAAAAAATGGACCTTGGAGGTTTTCTAGTCCAACTCCCTGCTCAGGCAGGAAACCCTACACCACAGATGGAAGCTACCCTGTTTCCCCCAAAATAAGACATTCCCCTGATAATAAACCCAATCAGGCTTTTGAGCGCATGGCAATAAGGCCAAGCGCTTATTTCAGGGTTCAAAAAAAATATAAGACAGGTTCTTATTTTCGGGGAAACACGGTAATCAAGGAGAGAAGCAACCTAGAACTAAGGAGAAATTTCCTGACAGTGAGGACAATTAAGCAGTGGAACAGCTTGCCACCAGAAGTGGTGGATGTTGCTACAACACTGGAGGTTTTTAAGATCTTGCATTTGTTTTTGTTTTTTACTGGATTGAGAAGATCTTATTTGGAGATACAGGAAGGAATCAAGGTAGAGCTGAGAAGATTCAACCAGGCTTTTAGTAATAGCTTTTTTAACTCACTCTTTTGAAGGGCATGTAAATGTGGTTTACCTCGATGTGTCCGTCGATGGCTAGTTTTTTAAAAAAAGATTCCCCTCGCACATATGTGCTAGTCGTTCCCGATTCTAGGGGGCGGTGCTCATCTCCGTTTCAAAGCCGAAAAGCCAGCGCTGTCCGAAGACGTCTCCGTGGTCATGTGGCCCGCATGACTCAACGCCAAAGGCGCACGGAACGCTGTTCTCTTCCCACCAAAGGTGGTCCCTATTTTTCTACTTGCGTTTTTTTACCTGCTTTCGAACTGCTAGGTTGGCAGAAGCTGGGACAAGTCAGGGGAGCTCACCCGGTTACACGGCACTAGGGATTCGAACCGCTGTACTGCCGACCTTTCGATCAACAAGCTCAGCGTCTTAGCCACAGACCCACCACGTCCCCTTAAATTGAGAACTACCTCCATCTTAATCCCCATCACCACCCAAGCCCAGCCTGGATCAATCAACCAACCAACCAACCAATCAATGAATCAATCAATCATCAATCAATCAATGCTCACCTCTTTTCTCCTCGCTGGTTGTGGACAATTGGCTTGGGGGTTCTGACTCTCCCTCAGGAACCCCAGGGTCTTCCAGGGATCCCCACAACACGCCCACTCGGCGTTGCCGAAAACGCTGTCTGGGATTGTCGTGGCCGTCTTCGTCCCCGGATCCCGAAGGTTCTGTTACCGGCATGCGGGAACTCAGGCGGCAACGGCGGAAGTGGACTGGCGGGCTCTGTGGGAGGCTGGCGTTGCTGCTTGCTTTGCGGAGAAGAGACGGTGAGCTGGGCGTGCTAGAAACTTTTTGGGGGGGAAATAAAAAAACAATTTGGAAGATGCAGAGCTAGAAAAAAAAAAAAAGGCATCTGAGAGTGGAGGAAATTTCAAATGTAATTTAACCCTGGGAATTAAATGATTGGTGGTTTAGAAGGAAGGAGAATCGGAACACCAAGGAAGGAAGGAAGGAAGGAAGGAAAGAAGGAAGGAAGGAAGGAAAGAAGGAAGAATCGGAACACCAAGGAAAGAAGGAAGGAAGGAAGGAAGGAAGGAAGGAAAGAAGGAAGGAAGGAAGGAGAATCGGAACACCAAGGAAAGAAGGAAGGAAGGAAGGAAGGAAGGAAGGAAGAAAAAACAGAGTTGGAAGGGACCTTGAAGGTCTTCTAGTCCAACCCGCTGCTCGAGCAGGAGTCCCAATACCATTTCAGCCGAACCGGCTTGTCCAAACCCTCCTTAAAAACCTCCCATGAAAGAAAAGAACCCACGAGTTCTTGGAGGCCAATCGTTGTGTCATGTGGGCGACCCAAATAAAGCCCCGCACCAAGGAAATAGGATGTGGGTTACCTAAAGCTGCTTGTATCCAGGTAGACTTAACAACCATTTTGTTTAATGACGGTTCAAAGTGACCACGGCGCTGGAAAAAAAGTGACTTAACGGCCGTTTTTTTCACGCTCCCAATCTGTCCGGACCTCACCTCTACTCTCAAGCCCATGGTCCTCGGGCCCGGCCAGGCTCTCGCTGCTGCTGCTGCCGGCTCCCTCCGCCATGGGACGCGGCTGCTGTTCCCGTCGAAGTTTCATCAGTCTCCTTATCTTCCCAGCAATCCAGTTACTCTTCCTAGCCCACGAGGATAAGAGGAGACGGGGACAAAAAAGCAGGGGTGAAATGCTCCCGGTTTGGACCGGATCGTCCGATCCAGTAGCGATGGCGGCGGGTGGTTCAGAGAACCGGTAGCAAAAATCCCTGCCCCCCCTCCCCCCATTGCCCAGCTGAGCCGCGCGATCATCAGAGGCTTTTATTTTTATTTATTTTTTTTTTGTATTTTTAAAAGCATTTTTTCTACAACCTCTTCGGCCGAAAAAATGCTTTTAAAAGTTAAAAAAAAAGCCTCTGATGATCGCGTGGCTCAGCTGGGATCGTCAGCGGCTTTTAAAAGCATTTTTTTCTACAACCTCTTTGGCCGATTCTCCTCCTTCGCCTTATTGCTACCCTCTTCTTTCTCTTCTCTACCCCTTTCTCCCTTTCTCTCCCTCTTTCTCCTTTCTTTTTGTTCTTCTTCCTCGCCTCTTCCTCCTCTTCCTCTTCTTCTTTTTCCTCTCCTCCTCCTCCTCCAATTCTAATTCGAATTCGAATTAGATAGAATTAGAATTAGAATTCATTCCCTCCTCCTCCTCCTCCTCCTCCTCCTCCTCTTCTTCTTCGTCTTCTTCCAATAGAACAATAGAACAACAGAGTAGGAAGGGACCTTGGAGGTCTTCTAGTCCAGCTCCCTGTTTAGGCAGGAAATCCTACACCACTTCAGACAAATGGTTATCCAATTTCTTCTTAAAAACTTCCAGTGTTGGAGCTTTCTTTCTTTCTTTCTTTCTTTCTTTCTTTCTTTCTTTCTTTCTTTCTTTCTTTCTTTTTTCTTCCTTCCTTCCTTCCTTCCTTCCTTCCTTCCTTTCCTCCTCCTCCTCCTCCTCCTCCTTCTTCCTCCTCCTCCTCCTATCTTCTCCTCCTCCTCCTCCTCCTCCTTCTTCCTCCTCCTCCTCCTCATTTATCTCTTCCTCATGTCTTTGCATTCTTATCTATCTCTTCCTCCTCCTCCTCCTCCTCCTCCTCCTCCCCTCTCTTCTCTTTCTCTCTTTCCTCTCTCTTTCTCTCTTTCCTCTCCTTCCCAACTAGTGTTCACACGCATCAGTTGCACAGGGTTTGAGAGCCCCATGACTGGCCTAGAGAGGCTCGTGATGGCAACAGAAAGACCTCATAACCCATAACCAGAAGCTGCCCCTGGGCAGGAGGTAGGGAGGGCCAACCCTCCCCTTTTCTGCTTGTGTTGCCCCTAGTCTGGTCACTCAATACCTGATCAGCCATTGCAATTACATACCCCATGCTTCTTTGCACGTGAAACAGGCGTGTGCCAAGTTCTGTGTAACACACTTACTTGCCACGGGGGATTGCGGGTTCCAACACTCGGTATTGGTCCATGATTTTCTCAACCAGTTTCTGCTTCTCTCGACGCAATTCGCCTAATTTGTCTCTGTGGGAGAAAGAACGGGGATGGGGGGGGAGTTATGAACTGGATAAGCAGGCAGTTTGTTGAGGAATTTGCAGAGTAATCCTTGAATAGCAAGGGTGTGTACATGAAAGCGATTGAGAGTAGGTACGAATAAACACAGTCAACACACAGATACACTGAGTTGTGTTTACTTTCAGGAAATAGTAAGGCACAGTCCAATAAACAGTCCAGGTCATACACATATAAAGCAGGAGCTAGCCAAAACGACAGTCCAGAGATAATCCAATAACAAAGTCTTCTTACCAGTCGTCGTAGTCATTCACAATAAACAGTTCTTCCGGATTTGCAAACAGTAGCATACAGAGAGATCAGAGAGCAAGAACAGCAAAGAGAAACAAACCATGTTTCTAGCTCCCTCTTAAGGAGATTGGCTACAGAGCTAACCAATCAGGACACAGTATGATGCAATACAGCAGTCTTAAAGATATATCGATGGTTTATATATTGCCAACACAACAAGGTAGGTAATACTCATTTCCTAACTCAGTTGAAAGAATCCCCCTACCCCAAGATTCCGGATTGGATGGCTCTCTACAGAAGCACAGAAGGGGCTTGGAACTGACGGCTGAACGGAATTGCTGCAATTTTTTGCTCGAGCGACAAACCATTTCAGCAAAACTCACTGGTACTGACGTTGCTCCTCCTGAAAATGTTCTCGGTTTTCCATGCTGCGCTCTAACAGCTGCCTGTTCTCCCTGCTCAACAGCTGGATCTCCAGAAGAAGATGTCGGTTCTCTTCCTCCTGCTTGCCCTTCAACTGGACCAGGAGCTGCAGAGAAGAACGGAGGTCCCGTCACCCAAAGGACCATCAGTGATGCATCTTGGATATCCAGGTGAGAGCAATTGCACTTCGTCTTATAGACTTAGCTTTCACAGTGCTTTGCAGCCCCTCTCTAAGGAGTTCACAGAGTCAGCGAAGGAAGGAAGGAAGGAAGGAGGGAAGGAAGGAAGGAAGGAAGGGCAATAGCAATAGCACTTAGACTTACATACTGCTTCACAGTGCTTTGCAGCCTTCTCTAAGCAGTTTACAGAGTCAGCATAGGAAGGAAGGAAGGAGGGAGAGAAGGAAGGAAGGAAGGAAGGAAGGAAGGAAGGAAGGAAGGAAGGAAGGGCAATAGGAATAGCAGTAGCAATAGCACTTATATACCGCTTCACAGTGCTTTACAGCCCTCTCTAAGCGGTTTACAGAGTCAGCCTTTTTTTTTTTTTTTTTTATTTATATGCCGCCCTTCTCCAGAGACTCAGGGCGGCTTACAATGCGTTAAGCAATAGCCTTCATTCTTTTGTATATTTTATACAAAGTCAGTTTATTGCCCCCAACAATCTGGGTCCTCATTTTACCCACCTTAGAAAGGATGGAAGGCTGAGTCAATCTTGAGCTGGTAAGGATCGAACTGCTAGCAGCTGGCAGTGGGCAGAATTAGCCTGCGATACTGCATTCTAACCACTGTGCAAGCAGGCAGGCAGGCAGGCAGGCAGGCAGGCAGGCAGGGAGGAAGGAAGGAAGGAAGGAAGGAAGGAAGGAAGGAAGGAAGGAAGGAATACCAATAGCACTTAGACTTATATACTGCTTCCCAGTGCTTTCCAGCCCTCTCTAAGCAGTTTACAGAGTCAGCCTCTTGCCCCCAACTATCTGGGTCCTCATTTTATCGACCTTGGAAGGATGGAAGGCTGAGTCAATACTGCATTCTCACCATTGGGAAGGAAAGGAGGGAGGGAGGGAGGGAGGAAGTTGAAGAAGCTTCTTGGTCGACAAGCGAAACGTCTTCAAAGAAAAATCAGAAAAGTCCAGTTGCCTCTTGAAAAAACCTTTGGGACTTATCAACCGTGCTACTAACTTAACAACGATGCAGGAATTCACTTAACAACTGTGGCAGGAAAGGGTCCTAAAATGCTGGGGAAAAACCCTCACTTAACAAATTGTCTCGCTTAGCGATGGGGAATTTTGGGGCTCGGTTGTGGTCTTACCTGTATTTTGGTGGGAGAAAGTGATTGGTGACCCTTTTGTTAAATCTTTGGAAGCCAAAGATCCACAGTAGCATTTTGCAAACCCTGATCTATTCTTTCTTTCTTTCTTTCTTTCTTTCTTTCTTTCTTTCTTTCTTTCTTTCTTTCTTTCTTTCTTTCTTTCTTTCTTTCTTTCTTCCTTCCTTCCTTCCTTCCTTCCTTCCTTCCTTCCTTCCTTTCTTTTTCTTTCTCTTTCCCTCTCTATCTCTCTCTCTCTCACACACACACACCAATCGGGCCAGTCTGGGAGGGCAAGTCAAGGGGGAACGGATGGGTTTACCTAAGTGGTGAAATCCAAATTTTTTTACTACCGGTTCTGTGGGTGTGGCTTGGTGGGCGTGGTGTGGCTTGGTGGGCGTGGCAGGGGAAGGATATTGCAAAATCCCCATTCCCTCCCCACTCCTGGGGGAAGGATACTGCAAAATCCCCATTCCCTCCCCACTCCAGGGGGAAATGATATTGCAAAATCCCCATTCCCTCCCCACTCCTGGGGGAAGGATACTGCAAAATCCCCATTCCCTCCCCACTCCAGGGGGAAGGATACTGCAAAATCCCCATTCCCTCCCCACTCCTGGGGGAAGGATACTGCAAAATCCCCATTCCCAGCCCATTCTGGGGTCAGCCAGAGGTGGCATTTGCCAGTTCTCTGAACTGCTCAAAATTTCCGCTACGGGTTCTCCAGAACCTGCTGGATTTCACCCCTGGTTTACCTCGCATTGGGTAGTCAGGCGCCCCAAGGCCGTGTCCAGCTGCTGGTTCTGCTCTTTTAAGGTAGCGTTTTCGGCTTCCAGCTTCGCCTGTTCCAACTGCAGGCCGGTCAGCCGGTTCTGCGTTCCTTGAAGCTCACCCTGGAAGTCATCGTGGGCTCGTTCGCTCTGGACCAACGCTTGTTGGACCCTGCAATATTTTGGGGAAGGACCACCCTGTTACCCAAGGCGAATTTCTCCTCTTTGCTGCTGCTCCTTACCTCGCAGCTTGGATCTATATCAATTGCCCCCCACCCACACAGTATATAATAATACTGTGAAGGAAAACGAAGGTAGTACCAATCAGAAAAACAGAATAGAGTAAGAGGGTTACTTAAAAACTTAAACTCTTAAAAACCTTCTTTTTTTGGAAGGAAGGAAGGAAGGAAGGAAGGAAGGAAGGAAAGAAAGGAGGAAGGGAAGGAGAGGGAAGGAAAGGAGGGAGGAAGGAAGGAAGGAAGGAAGGAAGGAAGGAAGGAAGGAAGGAAGGAAAGGAGGAAGGGAAAGAGAGAGTAGTAACAGAGTAACAGAGAACAGAGTAAGAGGGTTACTTAAAAACTTAAACTCTTAAAAACCTTCTTTTTTTGGAAGGAAGGAAGGAAGGAAGGAAGGAAAGAAAGGAGGAAGGGAAGGAGAGGGAAGGAAAGGAGGGAGGAAGGAAGGAAGGAAGGAAAGGAAGGAAAGGAGGAAGGGAAAGAGAGTAGTAACAGAGTAACAGAGAACAGAGTAAGAGGGTTACTTAAAAACTTAAACTCTTAAAAACCTTTTTTTGGAAGGAAGGAAGGAAAGAAGGGAAGGAGAGGGAAGGAAAGAAGGGAAGGAGGGAAGAAGGAAGGAAAGGAGGAAGGGAAGGAGAGGATAGTAACAGAGAACAGAGTAAGAGGGTTACTTAAAAATTTAAACTCTTAAAAACCTTCTTTTTTGGAAGGAAGGAAGGAAAGGAGGAAGGGAAGGAGACGGAAGGAAAGAATGAAAGGAGGGAAGAAGGAAGGAAAGAAGGAAGGGAAGGAGTGGGAAGGAAAGGAGGAAAGAAGGAAGGAAGGAAGGAAAGGAGGAAGGAAAGGAGGAAGGGAAGGAGAGGGTAGTAACAGATTAACAGAGAACAGAGTAAGAGGGTTACTTAAAAACTTAAACTCTTAAAAACCTTCCTTTTTTGGAAGGAAGGAAGGAAGGAAGGAAGGAAGGAAGGAAGGAAGGAAGGAAGGCACCCTGAAGGTCTTCTAGTCCAACCCCTTCTTCGAGCAGGAGACCCAATGGCAGTCCGGTCTCTTCTTGAAAGCCTCCAGGGATGAAGCTCCCACAACTTCTGAAGGCAACTTCTGTTCCATGGGTTGATTGTTCTCACTGACTGTCAGAAAATTCCTCCTTATTTCTAAGTTGAACCTCTCTCCTTGTTCAGTTTCCATCCATTATTCCTTGCCTGGCCTTCGGGTACCTTGGAAATTACCCCGACCCCCTTCCTCCTCTCTGTAGCAGTCCCTCAAATATTGGAAGTCTGTTATCATGTCTCCCCTGGTCCTTCTCTTCACTGGACTAGCCAGGCCCAGTTCCTGCAACCGTTCATCGTACGTTTTACTCTCCAGGCCTTTGATCATCTTAGATAGATTCAGTTTAACAGAGTTGGAAGGGACCTTGTAGGTCATCTAGTCCAACCCCCTGCCCAAAGACTGCTCTCATGTCTTCCCTGGTCCTTCTCTTCACTAGACTAGCCATGCCCAGTTCCTGTAAGTATCAAACCGTTTAAAAATGGCTTGATAAATCTGGTGTCCTCCAGGCAAATTTCCCCAGCCTTACCGCTCATGTTCTTCTTTTAAGTTGCCGTATTGCTCAGCCAAATCCTGGTGCCGTTGCTCGGCTAGCTCGAGCCGTTCCTTCTGGGCCTGCAATGCCACCTCTTGTAGCTCCAGGCTGGTCTTCTGTCCCAACAGTTGGTTGTGCCTGTAAGGCGGGAAAATTGCGCTTCAGCAAATCATCCATCTTCTTTTAACGGCCTCATAATCCCTTGCGGAATGGAATCTGGGAAATCGAATGGAGCTGAGTATTTCCTGGCCGGATGCCCTTCCCTGTCGCCAATGCGGAGTTTTGTTTTTTTTTCAGCAGATCTATTCTCATTGTTTCCAGAGAGAGAAAAATATCTGCCTCTACCTAGGATCGAACTGACAGCCTCCTGATTGTGAGGCCAGAGCTCCACCTCTAGGCCACCGCACCGCTCCAGGTTGAGCTCCGGCAAATGAACGCATCGTTACATTTAGTCCTTGACCTACGACCATAATGGAGCCCCAAATGTCCGCTGCTAACAGAGACATTGCTTCAAGTGAATTTCACCCTGTTTGACGGACTTCCTTGCTCGATTGTGGTCATAAACCGAGGACTGCCTGTAACAGCTTAATCCAACTGCCGGCCAACCGCGATGGACGAGGGCATCGCCGGCTGTGATTTCCCACAATCCCCTTGCGGCAGCGGCACCTGCCCTCCAGTTCCCGCTGTTCCTTCTCCAGGCCGCGCAGCGCTGCCTTCAGGCCGGCTTGCTCGCTTAACGTCCTCTCCAGCTCGTCCCCCTGCTGTCGGTGTAGGAGCATCAAGCGATCGTGATCCAGCCGGAGCTGCTCGTAGCGTCTCCGCCATCCCTCGGCCTCCAGCCGGACCGTCTGAATTTCGGCTTCGTGGCGTCCCGACCTCTGCCGGACATCGGACAGCTGCCTCACCAGGAGAGAGCGCTGGGAACGTAGAGGCGAAGGCAGGTCACAAAAGTCAAAGATTAAGAGGAAAAATCTCGGCGCAGAGTGAGAGAGATGGCAGCAGCTCAAATGCAGGCTGTCCTCGATATACGGCCACAATTGGGACCAGAATTTCGGTCGCTAAGCAAGACGGTTGTAACAGGGAGATGGGCAGCATATGAATTTTCGTTCTTTCTATCTATCTATCATTTCTATCATCTCTCTCCATCCATCCACTGTCTATCATCTCTCTCTACCTATCATCTCTCATATCTATCTATCTATCTATCTATCTATCTATCTATCTATCTATCTATCTAATCTTCTCTCCCCATCCATCTCTCTCTCCCTCATCTCTCTCCATATCATTTATCTCCATCCATCCATCCGCCCAGAGTCCCTTGGGAGTTGGGCGGCATAGAAATATGATTAATTAAATTAAATTATCCATCCATTATCTATCTATCTATCTATCTATCTATCTATCTATCTATCTATCTATCTATCTATCATCTATCTATCTATCTATCTATCTATCTATCTATCTCTTTATAAAATGTATAGGGCACTCATCAAGGTAACTCTGGGCTGAGTTTATTTATAAGTAAATAAATACATTTATTTCAAATGTATTGATTAATTTATAAAATTTACATGCTGCCCCATCTCGCTTTTAGAACCGCCTGGCTTCGCAACAGAAATTCCGGTCCCAAATATGGCCATAAATCAAGGACCACCTCGAATTTATTTATAAGACTGTTAAGCGAGTCGCACCCGATTTAACGATCTTTTCCTGGCCCCGGGTTGTCCAGGTAAAATATCAGTGCGGTTGTTAAGCGAATTGTGCGGTCGTTAAGTGAATCCAGCTCCCCCCCCGTTGACTTTGCTCGTCAGAACCGCACCTGCGAGGTGCTGTTTTGAGGCTGGGGTTTCCCGTTTCCTTCCTGGCCTTCTGCCTTCTGCCGTGTCAGGCCCGACAGCACCATCTCGAGGCTGCTGGCCAGGGACTCCAGTTGGGTCAGGCGTCCGGTGAGCGCCGAATTCTCAGCTTGGAGAACCGCCTCCTGGCAGGAAAGTGATGGGGAAGGGAGGAAGGGAGGGAGGAAAGGAAGGATTAGAGGGAAGGGAAGAGAAGGGAAAGGGGAGGGAGGGAAGGAAAGGAGGAAGGGAAGGAGAGGGAAGGAAAGAAAGAAAGGAGGGAGGGAAGGAGGAAGGGAAGGAGAGGGAAGGAAAGAAAGAAAGGAGGAAGGGAGGGAGGAAAGGAAGGATTAGAGGGAAGGGAAGGGGGAGGGAGGGAGGGAGGGAAGGGAAGGAGGAAGAGAAGGAGAGGGAAGGAAAGAAAGAAAGGAGGAAGGGAGGGAGGAAAGGAAGGTTTAGAGGGAAGGGAAGGGGGAGGGAGGGAGGGAGGGAAGGGAAGGAGGAAGAGAAGGAGAGGGAAGGAAAGAAAGAAAGGAGGAAGGGAGGGAGGAAAGGAAGGATTAGAGGGAAGGGAAGGGGGAGGGAGGGAGGGAGGGAAGGAAAGGAGGAAGGGAAGGAGAGGGAAGGAAAGAAAGAAAGGAGGAAGGGAAGGAGGAAAGGAAGGATTAGAGGGAAGGGGGAGGGAGGGAGGGAAGGAGGAAGGGAAGGAGAGGGAAGGAAAGAAAGAAAGGAGGGAGGAAGGAAGGAAGGAAAAAGAATAGCAGAATAAGAGAATAACGCAGTTGGAAGCGGGTCTTAGAGGTCTTCATCAAGCAGAAGATGCTATACCGGCATTACAGGTAGTCCTTGACTTACAGCAGTTCATTTAGTGACCATTCAAAGTTTACAACGGCACTGAAAAAAAGGAAGTTGGGGCCGTTTTTCACACTGATGACCGCTGCGGCGTCCCCAGGATCGTGTGATCAAAATTCGGACGCCTGGCAATCGATTCCCATTTACGACGGTCGCAAGGTCCCGTGACCTCCTTTTGCGACCTCCTAACAAATCCCAGTCCGTGTGACCGACGTAGCGCCCGCAGCGACTCGCTTAACAACCGTGGCAAGGAAGGTCGTAAAAGGCGACAAAAACCTCCCTTGAACCGAGGTCTCGCTTAAGCAGCGGCACTTTGCGGCTCCGTTGTGGTCGTAAATCGAGGACTCCCACCGCAGGGCTGAAAGGAACCAACTTTTTTGGCAGCTCTCACCTGAGTTTGAACCTGGGGCTCCTTGGGGAGGTGCAGTTCCTCGAACTGCCCGACGAGGGCGCTCCCAGGCCGGCCTTTGCAACCGTTCCTTGCCTTTGCTTGGCTGCCAAGACATCAGCAGAGAGAAAAGCCAATTTGTGTGGCCATCGCTCACACACACACACACACACACACACACACACACACACACACACACACCAGGGTTGATCTAATTACAGCAAGTTTTGTTTAAGTGCAACTGATCAATGTCTTATCAATGCACCTAGGGGCTTTGATTGCAGATTTCCCCTTCCCCTCCCTGCTCTCCCTCGTTCTCTCCTTCTTTCCCACTTTTTCTTATATTACCCTCCCTCTTTTCCTTCCTACCTTCCCTTCCTTCCTTCCTGTACTGTGGGTCTCTCTTTCTCTCTTCCTTTCTTTTCCTCTTTTTTCCTTCCTTCCTCCCTTCCTATACTCTGTGGGTCTCTCTTTCTCTCTTCCTTTATTTTCCTCATTTTTCCTTCCTTCCTGTACTCTGTGTCTCTCTCTTTCTCTCTTCCTTTCTTTTCCTTTTTTCCTTCTTTCCTTCCTTCCTTCCTTCCTTTACTCTCTGTGTGCCTCTCTTCCTCTTTTTTCCTTCCTTCGTTCCTTCCTGTGCTCTCTGTGTGTATCTCTTTCTCTCTTCCTTTCTTTTCCTCATTTTTCCTTCCTTCCTTCCTTCCTTTCCTGTACTCTCTGTATGTCTCTCTCTTTCTTTCTTTTCCTCTTTTTTCCTTCCTTCCTTCCTTCCTTCCTGTACTCTCTGTATGTCTCTTTCTTTCTTTTCCTCTTTTTTCCTTCCTTCCTTCCTTCCTTTCCTGTACTCTGTATGTCTCTCTCTTTCTCCCTTTCTTTCTTTTCCTCTTTTTTCCTTCCTTCCTTCCTTCCTTCCTGTACTCTCTGTATGTCTCTTTCTTTCTTTTCCTCTTTTTTCCTTCCTACCTTCCTTCCTTCCTTCCTTCCTGTACTCTCTGTATGTCTCTTTCTTTCTTTTCCTTTTTTCCTTCCTTCCTTCCTTCCTTCCTGTACTCTCTGTATGTCTCTCTCTTTCTCCCTTTCTTTCTTTTCCTCTTTTTTCCTTCCTTCCTTCCTTCCTTCCTTCCTTCCTTCCTTCCTTCCTTCCTTCCTTCCTTCCTGTACTCTCTGTATGTCTCTCTCTCTTTCTTTCTTTTCCTCTTTTTTCCTTCCTTCCTTCCTTCCTTCCTTCCTTCCTTCCTTCCTTCCTTCCTTCCTTCCTTCCGATATGGCTGCCCATTTTATCTGCCAGAACCCCCAGCTGCTCACAAAATGACAACACCATCATCAGCCACCCGCACCCCCACCCCCCTCATTCCCAGCAACTGGCAAACCCCCTCCTGTGCTGGGCCCAGCCTGACCTGCTGTCGGTCTCTGGCTCAGGATTTCGCTGCTCCTTTGGTGGGTGGTCTTGTGACTCAGCTGCATTGTCTTTGGAGGGCCCGGCCTTTTCTCTCGCCAGCTCCTACAACACAATCGGACATCCTGTGAGCGAAAGACCTGGCCCTCCATTTACTCTCCTGCGACTCCATTGCAGGCAGTCCTCCTCGACTTACAACAGTCCATTCAGTGACGCTTCAAAGTTATCAATGCACTGAAAAAAGAGACTTGTGACCACACTTACGACCGTTGCAGCATTCCTGTGGCCACCTGATCGAAATTCAGACATTTGCCAACTGACTCATATTTACGACGGTTGCAGTGTCCCTGGGGGGGGGGCCCACGATCCCCTTCTGTGACCCTCCGTCAACGGGGCAAGCCAGATCCACTTTACGACCGCATTGCTCACTTAACAATGGCGGCGATTCCTCGAACAACCGTGGCGGGGAAGGTCGTAAGTAACACGGGGCCAAATTTACTTAACACCTCTCTCGCTTAGCAACAGGAAGCTTGGGGCTCAGTTGCGGTCGTAAGCCGAGGACCACCTACAAGTCCCACTTACCTGTTCCAGCATGGCGGCTGCGTTCTCCTTGTCCTCCAGTTGCTTTCTCAAGTTCGCGTTCTCCTCTTCCAGCTCCCTGAGGCTTTGGAGAACCTCTTGCAGGCTGGTGAGCTCTGCCGCCTGCCGGCGCGTTTGAGCTTCCAGGAGGGCCAGGTGGCGTCCCTGCTCAGCCAGCGCCTCCTCCTGCGCCTGTGTTTTGGCCTTCAGCCGTCGGCCATCTTTGTCCGCTTGCCGCCGGGTGCTCTCTGCTTGGCTCAGTGCCTCTTCCAAAGCCCCTTTCTCAACCTCCAGCTGAGCCAAGGTGACCCTGTGTTGTTCGACGCTCCGTTGCAGGTTCTCGAGCTCCTGTTGAGCTTCGCCCAAATCTTCTTCTTTTCTTTGGAGTTTCTGGGCTAGCTGGGCGCCCCGGAGACATTCCTTCTGAAGATTTTGCTGCGCCTGGTTTAAGTCGACCTCCGCTTGGGTGGCCGCCTCTTGCAAAGCCCGCGATCCGGCTTTTAAGGTCTCCGTCTCCCGCTGTAGCGCCTGGATCTCTTCCACCAGGCGCTCCGTGTCCGAGCGCCACCGCTCACATTCCTCCTGGGCTTCTCCGTACACCCCTTGGATGCTCCTCAGCGTCTCCTCGAGGCTCGCGGCGTGTCTCGATTCGGCCTCCCACGCCTGCTCGGCCTCCCGCAGTCGAGCCTGAGCACTGGACAAGGCGGCCTTCATTTCGGTCACCGAGGTCTCCGATTCCTGTTTCGGAGCCTGGCCTTCCACCGTTTCGGTCTTTCGGTGTGCCAAAATCCCTGGTTTGTGTTCTTGGACATCTGAGTTCTCCTCTTCTGCCTCGCTGGGCCGCCCTTCCGGCTAAGTGGGATAGAAATCAGAGTTGGAATGGCTGCTGGATTGCTGTGTTCTTTCAAGGTATCCTCTGAAGCTGTGTCTAGTGCCAGGTTTGTGGTCCTTCCTTCCTTTCCTTTTTCCCTCCCTCCCTCCCTCCCTCTTTTTCTTTCTTTCTTTCTTCATTTGTTCTTTCTTTCTTTCTCCCTTCCCTTCCTTTCTTTCTCCCATCCATCCATCCCTCCCTCATTCTTTCTTTCTTTCTTTCACAGCACCACAGGGTGCACGCGGAGGCTCGGGAAGGGCGAAAACGGGCCTACTGGAAGTTCAGGAAGGCCAGAAATGGGGCCGTTTCTGGCCTCCAGAGGGCCTCCGGAGTCTGGGGAGGCCGTTTTTGCCCTCCCGGAGGCTCAAGAAAAGCCTCCAGAGCCCGGGGAGGGCAAAAACACCCCCCACACACACTGTGGTGCAGGAGGCCAACTAGGCCACGCCCACCATGGCCACGCCCACCCAGCAACCAGGCAGAGAACCCCTTGCTAACATTTCTGAAGGCCACCCCTGCTCTTATCTGACTGCTACTTTGAATGCAGCTCTTCCTCCTGTCCCTCAAGGTCATTCTCACCGCCCATAACGCCCATTCCCTAATGATAGGACCGGATCCAACAGCTCTCTCTCTCTCTCTCTCTTCCATACCAGCCCATCAAGGTTGGCGTCCTTCAGCTCTGCTTCCATATTCTTTGATCCCAACAAAAGCTGCATCCCACGCCGTTCCCGGTTCTCCTTTTCTAGGACCGGCATTCGATTGGCCTCCTTCATCTCGCAGTCCAGCAAAAGGGGCACTTCGGGGAATTCTGCAACCAGGAGGGAGAAAATATATATATATATAATTTTTGCTTGCAAATGTGTCGGGAAAGAAGACCAGGTGATCTGGGAGAAGAGAATCGAATATCGGGGGAGGTAAAACTCACCATTTGCATCCAGGTGAGAATATTCAGACCACGATTCCCTCGGGGAATTCTTCAAAGTTTCTTGCAGCTGCTTTTTCAGGAGCAAATTCTCTCTCAAAAGTTCCTCCGATCGGTAAGAGAGCTGATCCCTTTCCTGAGGAATTGAAATTTTAACCAGGATGTTGAGTCTAATCTCATTCCCCGTTTTTCCCCTCTGATTCTCAGCCTCAAACTCATTGAGTTTGAGCCGGACTCAAAGGTGGAGAACTTAAGAAATTGCAAAACGCGTGGGGAGCTTGAGAAATTGCAAAACGCGTGGAGAGCTTGAGAAATTGCAAAATGCGTGGAGAGCTTGAGGAATTGCAATGGTTTTGCCTCCATGCATTTTTCCATCCAGAAAAACAACAACAAAACCTTCGATCATCTAATTCAGACAGCAGCGCAAGGGGCTGCTTCAAAGAATCTATTCCTCTTGTAATTTTTTTTATTTTTTTTTTAAAAAAGGAGAATTGTAGTGCAAGGTGAGACAATCGCAACTACACCCGTATATGCAGCAAACTGGACTGTAAATTCCATTAAATCCAACAGTGGTTCTCTAGTCAATTTCACAACTCGATCTAGTCAATTTCACAACCTGAGCTAGTCAATTTCACAGCCAGATCTAGTCAGTTTTACAGCAGAGGTGAAAAAAAACCCATCAGCTGATTTCCATTTAAAAAAAAAAACCCACATAAGTAGCATTTACTTTAGGGTTATGTCTTAATTTAATAAAATAAATAAATAAATAAATGTCTTACTTCCAGAGACGTGTGTGGGCTCTTAATGTAAGTCAAGGCCCCCGTTGTGTAAAGCTCTTTCTATCCGGCCAGTTTGGATCATGAAACTTCATTCTCAGTGAAGGGAGGGGCAAAAATATCCCTTTCCCCCTTTTAATTGCCCAGGAAATTAAAAAATCAATTCCTTTCTTCAAAGAATTAAAACCCCAGACCTCTTTCCCAGACTCGGAGTGCAAAGAAAGCTAAAAAAACCTCACTCTCTGATGTTTTGATTTTATCAAATAAGAATTATGTGCGCTTCAAGAACATAAGACAACGATCATCATTGTCATTTAACGACCCCATAATCCCTTGTGGGGTGGAATCTGGGCAACTGAATGGGCAGAGTGTTTTACTGGCCGGATGCCTTCCTGTTGCCAGAGCGGAGTTTCGTTCGGCAGATATATTTCTCATCATGCCCAGAGAGAGAAAATATCTGCCTCTACCTAGGATCGAACTCACAGCCTCCTGATTGTGAGCCGAGAGCTCCACCTCTAGGCCACCGCACCCCTCCAAAATAAGATAACTATAAACATCCCAAATTCTCCGGGCATGTTTTTTTCCAACTACGTCTCAATCGACAGGTCTCTTCTTCTCCCCTATACCCTAAACAGTCCCTGAAATCCCAAGTTTGCCCTCCTTAACGGAGTTTCTAAAGTACGAAAGGGGGCAGAGAAGTATTGGGAATGAAAAAAAAAAAATGGCGTAGAAAGAACCGTCGTCTTTTTCAACTGTACCTCTTGGATCTGATTCAAGTGGTTTTGCAGACGCAGGTTTTCTTTCTCCGTCTGACTCAGGCGTTGGCCTCGGGCGTAAACGGCATCTAATTCTTCCTCCATCATGGCTTTTGCCTCCAACAGGGCCTTGGAGAAGTCACGCTCTTCCTGAGAATCAAAAAGGACTTATTTAAAGCCAGGTCTCCGCCCTCTTCCACAAGATTGGGCTGCAAACTAACATTGTAACATTGTTAGTTTAAAATTGGTACCGTTGTACCGCAAACTAGGGCATGCAAAACCTTGGCTAGACCAATTCTCGAATACAGCTCGTCTGCCTGGAAGCCACACTGTCTATCGGACGTTAATACAATTGAGAGAGCCTAGAGGTATTTCGAAATGAAACGTGGTCACCTTGAGCTGCGCCCGGCATCGTTCCAAAGCTGGTATCCTTTCCCGCAGGGCCGTCAGCTCCGACTGAAGCCGCTCCGCCCGGAACGCCTTCTCTCTCAAGGCGTCCAATTCGTCCTGGTATAACTTGGCTTGGCGCGCCTCGCCTGCCAATGTGCGGTTCTGGGTAAGAAGGAGCAAACTAGAGATTACTTCATCCCGATGACGTCATACTTGCCGATGATGTCAGGATGCGCCCGTCGTTCCGACATCGCCTTGGTTGCTTGCAAATTCCTGCCCCATCCTTTTCTCGAACCCACAGATAGCTGATTTGGTCTTTGGAAGATACAGTTGGTCCTCGACTTACGGCCACAATTGGGCACCAGCATTTTCCATTGCTAAGCAAGACTGTCGTTAAGTGATTTTTTTTTTGCCCCATTTTGCGACCTTTGTTGCCGCCGTGAAGGGAATCCCTGCAGTTAACATGGTCGTTAAGCGAATCCGGCTTCCCCCTTTGACGTTGCTTGTTGGAAGGTCGCAAAAGGGGATTGCGTGACCCTGGGACACTATGACCGTCATAAATAGGAGTCAGTTGCCAAGCACCTGAATTTTGGCAATGTGACCGCGGGGATGCTACAACGGTCGTGAAAAAAACGGTCCTAAGTCACATTTCTCAGTGCCATTGTAACTTCAAACGGTCACTAAAAGGAATGGTTGTAAGTTGAAGAGTACCTATAATTGTTAGCCTTGCAAGATCATCCAGAGAGGAGACATGACCAAGCTGGACTAATTTTACTTCGTTGTAAGGTGACATTAATAGAATCTTGCAAGTCTGAAAGTACAAAACTTCCCTCTCACCTTTGCAGCCTGAGAAACAAGGGAGGATCCCTTCTGAGCCTCTTTCTCCATCCATTACACAGCTGAGGGCTAAGCTGCCTCTTATCTGCCTGTTGCCTAAAGCTACATTAATAAAATCTAGCACATCTGAAAGTAGAAATCTCCCACTGTCTCCTTTAGAACCTGAGAAACTAGGGAAGGTCCCTTCTGAGCCTCTTTCTCCATCCATTATGCAGCTGAGGGCTAAGCTGTCTCTTATCTGCCTGTTGCCTAAAGCTACATTAATAAAATCTAGCACATCTGAAAGTAGAAATCTCCCACTGTCTCCTTTACAGCCTGAGAAACAAGGGAGGATCCCTTCTGAGCCTCTTTCTCCATCCATTATGCAGCTGAGGGCTAAGCTGTCTCTTATCCAATTTTTTCCCCCTTGGCTTTTGAGTCCTCTCTATCTCCCAAGGTCTATTCCTACATACCATTGTAGGTCCTCTTCAACTTACAAATCAATCATTTAAGCCCAGGTTTTTTAAAGTCAGGCCAATGAGGCCTGTTATTACGGTGAGGTTTTGCTACTGAGAAAAAGCACCTCTTGTTGAATCTTTCGAAGCTGCTGCTCCAAATGTCCGATTTCCTCTTGTTGGTCCAGCAGTTCCTCCATCTTCCTCTCCCTGAAATAAGAGACCGGAAAGTCAGGTCTGAGGAAGGTGATGATAGGTGCTAGAGAGATTTAAAAAGGAGAAAAGAAAGAAGAGAGGGAAGGAGGGAGGGAGGGAGGGAGGAAGGAAGAAAAAGAAAGGAAGAAAAAAGAAGAAAGAAAGAAAGGAATTTGTGTGAGAAGAAGGAAGGAAGGAAGGAAAGGGAATTTGTGTGAGAAAGAGAAAGAGAGGGAAAAAGGAAAAGAGGAAAGGAAGGAAGGAAGGAAAGGAATTTGTGTGAGAAAAAAGGAAGAAGGAAAGAAGGGAGGGAGGGAGGAAAGGAAGGAAGGGAATTCGTGTTAGAAAAGGGAAGAAGGAAGGGAGGGAGGGAGAAAAGGAAGGGAATTTGTGTGAGAAAAAGGAAAGAAGGGAGGGAAGGAAGGAAGGAAGGGAATTTGTGTGAGAAAGAGGGAAGAAGGAAGGAAGGAAGAGGGAGGTAAGGAAGGGAATTTGTGTGAGAAAAAGGAAGGAAGGAAGAGAGGGGGGGAAGGAAGGGAATTTGTGTGAGAAAAAGGAAGGAAGGAAGAGAGTGGGGGAAGGAAGGGAATTTGTGTGAGAAAAAGGAAGGAAGGAAGAGAAGAAAGGAAGGAAGGGAATTTGTGTGAGAAAAAGGGAAGAAGGAAGGAAAGAAGGAAGGAAGGAAGAGAGGGAGGGAAGGAAGGGAATTTGTGTGAGAAAAAGGGAAGAAGGAAGGAAAGAAGGAAGGAAGGAAGAGAGGGGGGGAAGGAAGGGAATTTGTGTGAGAAAAAGGAAGGAAGGAAGAGAGGGGGGGAAGGAAGGGAATTTGTGTGAGAAAAAGGAAGGAAGGAAGAGAAGAAAGGAAGGAAGGGAATTTGTGTGAGAAAAAGGGAAGAAGGAAGGAAAGAAGGAAGGAAGGAAGAGAGGGAGGGAAGGAAGGGAATTTGTGTGAGAAAGAGGAAAGAAGGGAGGAAAGGAAGGAAGGAAGGAAGGAAGGAAGGAAGGAAGGAAGGAAGGAAGGGAATTTGTGAGAAAGAGGGAGGAAGGAAGAGAAAAGGAAGGAAGGGAATTTGTGTGAGAAAAAGGGAAGGAAGAAGGAAGGAGGGAGGGAGGGAGGAGTATCTTGCAGTGACTTCTGAATTGTCCTCCCCAAGCCCTCCACAGCTTCAGGGCATCTCCAGTCCCCACCTCAGCCCCCCAACTCACAGCTCGCCTTGTAGACGCCGCACATGGGCTTGACGTTCGGCAAGCTGAACCCCAAGGTGGGACTGGTTACTCTCCAGCTGGGCCACCAAGGGGGGTCCCTGTTTCTGCTGCAGCTCCCACAATTGCTGTGCAGGAAGGAAGAATTTTAAAAAAATGAGGTTGAAGGTGCAGAGATGGTCAGCCTCACTCGGAGGCATCCCAAAAGGACTTCTATCTTCCTTTCCTTTCTTCTATGTTTCCTCCCTCCTTTCCTTTCCTTTCCTTTCCTTTCCTTTCCTTTCTTTTCCTTTCTTCTATCTTCCTTTCCTTTCTTCTATCTTCCTTTCCCTTCCTTTCTTCTATCTTCCTTTTCTTTCCTTTCCTTTTCTTTCTTCTATCTTCCTTTCCTTTCCTTTTCCTTTCCTTTCCTTTTTTCTATCTTCCTTCTTTCCTTTCCTTTCCTTCCTTTCCTTTCCTTTCTTTCCTTCCTTTCCTTTCTTCTATCTTCTTTTCCTTTCCTTTCTTGTATTTCTTCTATCTTCCTTTCCTTTCTTCTATCTTTCCTTTCCTTTCCTTCCTTTCCTTTCCTTTCTTTTCTTCTATCTTCCTTTCCTTTCTTCTATGTTTCCTCCCTCCTTTCCTTTCCTTTCCTTTCCTTTCCTTTCCTTTCCTTTCCTTTCTTCTATCTTCCTTTCCTTTCTTCTATCTTCCTTTCCTTTCCTTTTTTCTATCTTCCTTTTCTTTCCTTTCCTTTTCTTTCTTCTATCTTCCTTTCCTTTCCTTTTCCTTTCCTTTCCTTTTTTCTATCTTCCTTCTTTCCTTTCCTTTCCTTTCCTTTCCTTTCCTTTCCTTTCCTTTCCTTTCTTCTATCTTCTTTTCCTTTCCTTTCTTGTATTTCTTCTATCTTCCTTTCCTTTCTTCTATCTTTCCTTTCCTTTCCTTCCTTTCCTTTCCTTTCTTTTCTTCTATCTTCCTTTCCTTTCCTTTCCTCCCCCTGATAACGGTGCCAAGAAGATTGTGAAAATCATGCCCAACTCTCTTAACAACCCCCTTGCTTACGAACAGTAATTCTTATCCAGTTGTGGTCCTAAGTCGAGGACTATCTACCTGTAAGACCGAGCTTGTATTCATAGTTGCGTTTCCAGTCTGGTCTACCTCACAAGGTTGACTTTGGCTGTTACCAAAGCTAGGTTTTCATGATCTGATCTGATCGCTGCACAGGTGGATCTGGTGATCCAAAGGTCCCCACCCCTTGTGAGAAGAAGGCGGGGGAGGCCACGGTCGTGTCTCTCACCTCCAATCCTGCATCTCGCTCAGCGACCAGCTTTTGAACTCGGGCCCCAAGGTCCCACAGGAGCTGTTGCAAGCTGGATGAGTCCATCTCTCTCCATTGCAACCCCAGGACATTTTCCGGTTCCTGGCTGACCTGGAAAGAAAAAGCGAGGAGGTTTTTTTTCCCCCCTTAGAAACCAATTATTTTTATTTATTTATTTATTTATTTATTTATTTATTTATTTATTTATTTTTCAATTTATATACCGCCCTTCTCCCTGAGGACTCAGGGCGGTGCACAGCCAAACAAAATTAAAAACATGAAATACAAATATTAAAAACAATTAAAATATATATAAATTTGGCCCAAAAATTTAAAAATGCACTTCTGTTTGTTGATGTTGCAAAACCCTGGAATCCTGGAACCTCAAAGTCCGTGGAGATTCTCATCATCCAGGTTGTCCTAAGGATGCTTTTCCAAAAGATTGGATTTGGATCCCAAAATCTAAATTGGATGCAGAACTGAAGAAGCTCCTTGGATGAGAAATTAAACAACTAGACGCAAAGATAGTTTTTTCTGCTGAAAATCTAATTCCCACAGGCCTAAAGAGATTTACCCATGTAGTAGGGCTGCATTGCTCTTATCCTTCCCATATTTCTCCTCTTCTCATTTCTCCTCTTCTCCTCTTTCGTCCTCCCTTCTCCTATTGGCATCTTATGATTTATCCCTTGTTTGTATCTCACGATTAATGATTATTAATGATGATCTATTACCGTAATGGCGAACCTGTGGCACCAATGGTGAGTTCCTCCCGGTTCCGCCGAGCCGGTAGCGGTGATGATATGACATCACCGAACCGGTTCTATCCCCCCACCCCCCCTGCATTATTATTACCTTTTATTTGGCCCCACCCCCAATCTATTGCTGCCTCCTGAGTCCCAGCTGATTGGCTAGAGGGAAAAAAACTGTTTAAACTCTTGCCACGGGGCTTCAAAGGGCTGCCCTACAGCTGATCAGTGTTAAAAGAAAACAAATGAGTAGACCGGTGCCTGCAAAAATACATGAGTAGATCAGTGCCTGCAAAAATAAATGCGTAGACTGGTGCCTGCAAAAATAAATGAGTAGACCGGTGCCTGCAAAAATACATGAGTAGATCAGTGCCTGCAAAAATACATGAGTAGATCAGTGCCTGCAAAAATAAATGCGTAGACTGGTGCCTGCAAAAATAAATGAGTAGACCGGTGCCTGCAAAAATACATGAGTAGATCAGGGCCTGCAAAAATACATGAGTAGATCAGGGCCTGCAAAAATAAATGCGTAGACCGGTGCCTGCAAAAATAAATGAGTAGACCGGTGCCTGCAAAAATACATGAGTAGATCAGGGCCTGCAAAAATAAATGCGTAGACCGGTGCCTGCAAAAATAAATGAGTAGACCGGTGCCTGCAAAAATAAATGCGTAGACCGGTGCCTGCAAAAATACATGAGTAGATCAGGGCCTGCAAAAATAAATGCGTAGACCGGTGCCTGCAAAAATAAATGAGTAGACCGGTGCCTGCAAAAATAAATGAGTAGACCGGTGCCTGCAAAAATACATGAGTAGATCAGGGCCTGCAAAAATAAATGCGTAGACCGGTGCCTGCAAAAATAAATGAGTAGACCGGTGCCTGCAAAAATAAATGAGTAGACCGGTGCCTGCAAAAATACATGAATAGATCAGGGCCTGCAAAAATAAATGCGTAGACCGGTGCCTGCAAAAATAAATGCGTAGACCGGTGCCTGCAAAAATAAATGAGTAGACCGGTGCCTCCAAAAACAAATGAGTAGGCCGGTGCCTCCAAAAACAAATCGGTAGACCGGTACAGCTCTGCAAGCAGTTAAAAGCCTGGTAGACCTGCTAAATCCTAAAGAATTGTCACATGACTATCAAGCCACGCCCACAAAATAAGCCACGCCTACAGAACCGGTAGTAAGAAAATTAAAAAAATTTAGAACCCTATTTAGAGCCATATCGGTGGGCACGCGAGCATTGCCCTAGCTCAGCTGCAGCGCACATGAGCGCGCAGGCCAACTGATTTTTCGGGCCTTCCGGCCACACCGGAAGTTGGCAAACGGGCCGTTTCTGGCCTCCAGAGGGCCTCCAGCGGAGTGGGGAAGGCCGTTTTTACTCCTAGAAAGCCTCTGGAGCCTGGGGAGGGCAAAAAAAAACGGGCCTACTGGGCCATCGTGTGCCAAAAACGGGGAGCATGGGGGGGGGTGTCGCGCGTACATGCGTGGGGGGGTGAGGCGCATTGAATTGTGGGTGTTGGCAGGCACGCACACGAGCCCCCGTGCTCCCCCCACTTTTGGCACGTGACGGCAAAAAGGTTAGCCATCGCTGATTTATGGTCTATCCCTATGTTTGTATGCACACTGAGAGATTCTGCACCGGAGACGAATTCCCTTGTGTATCCAGTCACACATGGCCAATAAAGACTAAAGAAAGATTTTTCAAGGGGAAAAACCCCCTCTCCCCCCCCATGAAAGTCCAGTTGCCTTTTGGAAAAAGCCCCTTTGGGACCTGGAATCCTCGATTTTCTCTTTTTTTTGCATCTCGCCGGCAATTTTTTATTTTTTTTTTTGCTTTCCGACTGCAGCAAAGTCCCTTCGAGCTGCAGGGGAGGAATAATTAACAGGATGCGCAGAATAGACGATTGTATGAAACTGCGAGTCAGCCGCGATTCACGCTTATAACTAAGCAACTGCAAGTTCCCCCATTTCGACAATCTTCATTCTTCCCCGTTGGATCCGCGCACATTTTATTCAACTTTTGCAATTGACCGATGGGGATTTTGTCAATGCCGAATGCCGGCATTCAAGTGATGCTCCAGATGTTTTTATTATTAATATTATTATTACTTTCATTCCATCTCACTCCCAGCAACTCTGGGAAGTTTATACCCGAAACATTAAAAACATTTAGGAGTGGCCAGGCCTTTTCACTTCTCCCCTTGGAGATGGAAATATTTACATTTCTTAATTCCTGCATCGTTTTACCTCTTTGATGGCAGAAGCCAAAGCAGCTTGCACACTGATTTCCAGCGATTGGATTCGGCCAATGAACACATCTCGCTGTTCACACTATTGGAAGTTCAAGGGAAAAAGTCAACATCTTCTCACTTTTAAAAAAAGAAAAATATTAACCACAATCTACGGATCTAGAACCTTATTTAATGAGATTATCTAGGAATCTGGATTTGAGTAGGAGAAAGTCCTTACGTTTTAATGCAGAGAAATAAGTTTAAGAACAAGTCTAGTCCAAATAATTTATTGTGCGATATAATATCACTGGTTGATTTTTTTTCCCCCTTTCAGTGATTTTTGTAAAAGGTAGATATTAAAATCCTTGCTACCGTCTCTCTAACTGCAACCAATAAGGAAATGAACAGGGTTACAGATAATCCTCAACTTATTGCGATTTTTTTTTAGTGACCGTTGGAAGTTACAACGCTGGAAAAAAAGTGACTTATATGATCGGTTCTCGCACTTATGACCATCGCAGCATCCCTGCTGATCAAAATCTGGATTTTTGCCCGTCGGCATGTATTTACGATGGTTGTGGGATCATCGGATCGCCATTTTGAGATCTTCCCAGCCACGGCTTCCGACAAGCAAAGTTAACGGGGGAAAGCTGGGTTTGCTTAATGACTGATGATTCACTTAACAACCAGGGCAAAAAAAAAAAAGATTGCAAAACCAGGAGCAGCCACAGCAAGGTGACTAATAATAATAATAATAATAATAATAATAATAATAATAATAATAATAATAAGAAGAAGAAGAAGAAGAAGAAGAAGAAGAAGAAGAAGAAGATCTTTCTCACAGGAAGCTTCAAAAGAAGAAGGAGAAGGAGAAGGAGAAGAAGAAGAAGAAGATCTTTCTCACAGGAAGCTTCAAAAGAAGAAGAAGAAGAAGAAAAGAAGAAGAAGAAGAAGAAGAAGAAGAAGAAGAAGAAGAAGAAGAAGAAGAAGAAAGAAGAAGAAGATCTTTCTCACAGGAAGCTTCAAAAGAAGAAGAAGAAGAAGAAGAAGAAGAAGAAGAAGAAGAAGAAGAAGAAGAAGAAGAAGAAGAAGAGGAAGAATATTTCAAATCACAATGCATCAGTGCCACTGAGAGTCTTACTCAAGGAGCCAAGTGTCTGGGAAAATCACTCTGTACATGCCCAGGAAACCCGCGCAGCAAGGGGAGTGCCCAGCACTGGCAAACCAATTAAAAGATCTCATCCCTGTTGCTAGATTCCCACAATTTACCTGGACGGCACTTCCCAACAAGAGCTGCACCAATTTCTTCATCTCCTGAACGGCCTGCGCTGAAATGGGAAAACCAAGATTAAAACCCTCGTTGCAAATATATGTTTTCCTCCCTCCTTTTTCTCTTCAAATTGCTATTTCTCCCCTAACAAAATGGGGTTTGCAGCCCAGATTTTAATGAAAAAAAGGCTGGGGGGGGGCGGGGGAGTGGACACGATAGCAGGGTTCTAAATATTTGAGGGGCTGCCCCAAAGAAGAGGGAGTCAAGCTATTCTCCAAAGCACCCGAAGGCAGGACAAGAAGCAATGGGTGGAAACTCATCAAGGAGAGAAGCAACTTAGAACTAAGGAGAAACTTCTTAACAGTGAGAACAATTAATCAGTGGAACAACTTGCCACCAGAAGTTGTGAATGCTCCAACACTGGAAGTTTTTAAGAAGAGGTTGTAAATGTTCTCGTTTTGTGTCATGGCGGGACTTCACCATTTATGATTAATTGGAATAATAATGAGACACAAACAGCTGGGGCAGGCAGGAAAAAGATGGAGGGTGCCTCGGTATGTATCCCGCTCCCCTCTCTCCTTTCCTGCAACTTTTGGGGTGAAAAATGCAATTTTCAAGGCTCCTGGGGAATCAGAGAAGAGCAACAAAGACGATTAGAGGACTGGAGGCTAAAACATACAAAGAACAGTTGCAGGAACTGGGTATGTCTAGCTTAATGAAGAGAAGGACTAGGGGAGATATGAGAGCAGTCTTCCAATATCTCAGGGGCTGCCCCAAAGAAGAGGGAGTCAAGCTCTTCTCCAAAGCACCCGAAGGCAGGACAAGAGGCAACGAATGGAAACTAATCAAGGAGAGAAGCAACCTGGAACTAAGGAGAAGCTTCCTGACTGTGAGAACAATTAACCAGGGGAACTGCTTGCCACCAGAAGTCGTGGGTGCTCCATCACTGGAGGTTTTTGAAGAAGAGATTGAACAGTGATTTGTCCAGAACGGTATGGTTCTCCTGCTTGACCAGGGGGTTGGACTAGAAGACCTCCAAGGTCCCTTCCAACTCTGTTAGATTCGGAAGAAGGTCTCCTTAGACTGGCAGCCATAAAACCAGGCTGAGGGATGCGGCTTGTGAGTTTTTCAAGAAAGGGAAGACAACATTTATTTATCTGACTATCTCTCGTAGCCTAAATTCCTCCCCAGAGTTCCCCCGCTAACACTACCTGTGAAGGGCTCTCTGACCATCACATGAAGATTTGGAGGTGGGGAAAGGATCACCTGATGGAGCTCATCCTGGGATAAGAAAAAAAAAGAAAAGAAAAATACAGGTAATTCTTGACTTACAACCATTCGTTTAGTGACCGTTCAAAGTTACGACGGCCCTGGAAAAAAAAGGGAGTTACGACCATTTTTTACACTTATGACCATTGCAGCATCCTCGTGGTCAAAATTCCGATGCTTGGCAAATAGAAAATAGTTTATGCTTCAAGAGATCCTTCCAGCTATGGTGCCAGTTCCGAAGATCCCAGTTCGACTCACCCTGTAGAAATTCTGCAGCCTTTGGAGGACTATTTGAAGCATATGCAATCCCTCTTCCTCCCTGTTGTCATCTCTCCAAGGGAATGGAGGTCCTCTAGGAATCAGGTCGCTAAGGGAAGGCACAATGGAGAATTAAAGATGGTTAGACTACAACTCCCAGAATCCCCCAGCCAGCAGGCTTTAAGAGGGGTGGACTTCAACTCCCAGAATCCCACAGCCAGTCTGCTTTAAGACGGGTGGACTTCAACTCCCAGAATCCCCCAGCCTGCATGCTTTAAGACGGGTGGTCTTCAACTCCCAGAATCCCCCAGCCAGCCTGCTTTAAGATGGGTGGACTTCAACTCCCAGAATCCCCCAGCCAGCCTGCTTTAAGAGGGGTGGACTTCAACTCCCAGAATCCCCCAGCCAGCATGTCACAAATTCAATGTAGACGTTTGTGTTCTCTCTTTGAAATGGAAGGGGAAAAAAAGCTTGCAAATTGTTCTCTAGATCGGTAAAAATCTGTCAATGGCCCATCTGGAATTAAGCTATTTTTTCTACTGTACGTTATAACAATAAGATTTAACTCCCCAGTTCTGCAGAAAACACACCATTTCTGCAGAATAAAATAAAACTTTTATTTATATTTTGAAAGAAAACACCAATTTTTCATCCTGGCAGCTCCCTTATGCCTCATCATCTTTTACAAGTGGGGAAAAAAATGCCTGGTTTCGTTTGGTCATTTTTTTTTTTAAAGAAAATTGTGGATCAATCTTTCAAATATGGATTTGTGTTTTGTTTTGTTTTGTTTGCAAAAAGTTTTTTTTTTCCAAACATACAAATTACATCTTTTCAGAATAGACTTTTGATCCAGTCATCAATTTGTTCAATTTTTTGTCATCTTTAACAAAATTGTATCTTGCCATAACACTTCTTAATCTTAAATCACATATTCAACTAATACCATCTTTAAAAAAAATATTAACACATATTTACTTAATCCAAACAGTTACCCTTCTATAAACCCACCCTAAATCTTAATTCAATTAATAACTCATAATACATTTCAATACAGTTCAGACTTTTTTATATTTCATAATACACATTAAATCTTTATTCCTTTATCAAATTTAAATCTTATCTTTAATCTTAAAAATATAGCAATGTAACATTTAAACATAGTTCTTAATTCAAATAATGCTATTTAATGCAATTTCCCAATTATCCCAAATTCTATCTATTAAACCATACCATTTATATAACACCAATTTAAGTAATTTTTGTTTAAAAATCATAATCATATATTGTTTCAATTTTCTTTTTCGTTTTGTGGGTTTTTTTTTTTAACCATGGAAATTATGCACAAGGGATGTAACCGGTTGAGAATTCTGAGCAATTTCTTCCCTTTACTTGCCTATACAATCTTTGTAGCCGGAAACTGCAAGGGTTCAACCACACTATCAGATCAGCATTTGCTATGTTGTGTTGCATTTTACGCCGGCAAAAAAAAAACCATGACTCACATCATTTGCATGATCTGATGCAGGAAGTCTCCGTTAACCAGTTTTCGGAAATATTCGTTCGCCTCTTCCTCTCCCTGGGGAAGTTCGTCGGGGCTCCTGCCCACCAGATCCTCCAGAGTCTGCATCTGTTGGGCCAAGACGTCAAGGCAAGGATGATCCAAAAATACCAGTCTGGGCTTAGCGACTCACTTTACGACCACCTGGCAGAACATTGTGGCCGTAAGTGGAGGACTACCTGTGATCGGTTCCTGAGTTTGCCCATCAACACATCAAACCCTCAAAACTGTTTAAAAACAGGGGTCTCCTCCAGCCTTAGCCGCTTTCAGATTTGTGGACTTCAACTCCCAGAATTCCACAAGAAGACTTGTGGACTTCCAACTCCCAGAATTCTGCATGCTGGCTGGGGAATTCTGGGAGTTGAAGTCCACAAGTCTTAAAGGGGCCAAGGTTGGAGACCCCTGGTTTAAACCACCTGGAGAAGGGGCTGCACATAGTCAACCAAGTGGGGGGTACATCTCAGGTTACCCAACCTTGGTGGGACCCCAGACCTCCAAAACTCCTCTGCCCCCAGACCCGAATCCAAAATCAGCTCCCATCAATCAAGCTTGTTGATCTATTCTACACCGTGGGACTTAATTTAGAATGTCATCAACCGAGTTCAAGCTGAAGGGTTTAGAAGATCAGAGTTTCTCCATCTTTCTCAACTTGAAGATGGGTAGACTTCAACTCCCAGAATTCCCCGGCCGTCTTGACAGATCTTGGCGAGTTGGACGTCCACCTATCTTCAAAGCGGGCTGGCTGGGGAATTCTGGGATTTGAAGTCCACCCAATCTTCAAGTTGACAAGACGGAGAGAGGTTGGTTAGATGAAGTCCTACCAAGATCTCTCTCTCTCTCTCTCTCTCTCTCTCTCGTCTTCTCTGAACAGCCTACCACAAGTTCAACCCTCCCTCAACGCTTCCTCCACCCCACCCCACCCCAAGCGAGGCTCACCCAGGTGACCAAGGGCCCGGATACGAATTCCTCCATCGCTTCAAGCCCATCTTCTTCATCCATGCTGTGGCTTGACGTGATGTCTTCTTCTCCATCCAAGGCTGATGGAGGCTTTAGGTATGTCTGCGTTCTTGCACGAAGTGCAACGTTGGGGGTGTTTTAGAACTTCCTTCCGTAATCTGGTTTTTTGTGTGTGTGTGGGGGGGGGGGGAACAAGTAAGGAGGAAGCTGGATTGCTTCAAAGCTTTAAATGACACCCTTTGTGGTTCTTGACTTTCCCAACGCAGTAGACAGGAAGTCCTCAAAATGAAACCTAGCCTGCGTAAACCTCTGCAGGGCTCCTATATTTTTATTTCTATGAACCGATGGCATCGGAGAGGATTCTGCTAGGACTCGCTGCTGGAAAACGACACCAATTGCGGTCAGGACCCCACACGAGAACCCCGCAGGACGTTTTCCCCGTCACCTCCTCAAACGGTAGTGTCATCGCAACTGCCGCCTCCGGTTTTGTCAGGAAGGCGTTTTATTCAGTTAGTTTGGCTTCCCGCCACAAACAGGGTCTCCGTTTGCAAATTGAGACGATTTCTCTGCTGCCTCAAATAAACCCTAGTATTGGACTAGATACAGGGGTGCAAATCCACGTTCAGGGAAGATTTGAAAGATCCAGTTTTGGTCACCGCACTATAAAAAAAAAGATTTGGAGACTCTAGAAAAAGTGCAGAGAAGAGCAACTAGGATGATGAGGGGACTGGAGACTAAAACATACGGTTGCAGGAACCGGGCACGGCTAGTCTAGTGAAGAGAAGGACCAGGGGAGACAGGAGAGCATCTTCCAATATTTGAGGGGCTGCCACAGAGAGGAGGAAGGGGGTCAAGCTATTTTCCAAGGCACCCGAAGGCCAGAAAAGCAATAATGGATGGAAACTGACCAAGGAGAGATTCAACCTGTAAATAAGGAGGAATTTTTCTGACAGTGAGAGCAATAAATCCATGGAATGGAAGTTGCCTTCAAACGTTGTGGGAGCTTCATCACTGGAGGCTTTCAAGAAGGAACTGTACAGCCATCTGTCAGGAATGGTGTAGGGTCTCCTGCTTGGCAAGGGGCTGGACTAGATGACCCACAAAATCCCTTTCTTACTCTTGTTAATCTGTTAACAACAACAAGGAGCATCTAACAGAGCAGTGAAGGATGGAGATAGAGCGTGGCTGGATTTTTGTAAGGCTTACCACCTTACTCCCAAGACAAAGTAACCCCCTCCCAAAACAGACTTGAGACCTCAAGTTTTATTTCAGACGATTTATTTGCTATTAGAGGAACAGGGAAGAAGCTCAAGGAATTACGTAAACCAACGGAAGAGAATATTTCCAGCTCAGGGTTGAAACTGTGGAGTCCTTTGGTGCTCTCTGAGCTTGGTGGGTTTTCTTGTGGACTTTTCATAACCCAACTAGGTAACGTCATCCGTGCTAGAAGGGCGTGTGGGGTTTGCTCTTTCTATATAAAAGGGCTTGCCGCTATCAATTCTTGACAATCAAACAATAAACAGTCTAATCAAGAAACTAACAAGAAGAACATTTACAAGGAAAGCCACTAGTATATAAACAGAGAGTAAACCCCACACTCCTAACACTGATGATGTTACCTAGGTGGGTCATGAAACGTCCGCAAGGAAAACAAGCTCAAAGTAACCAAGGACTCCGTAATTATGTAAACACACACAACTCCCATCTCTTGTGCGCCATCTTGAGCCGATTTCAAAACACCTCAAGGACCATCAACCTGTAGGAACCAACTGATGCTGTACGGTGGGTTCCCACCAGGGTTAAGATCAGCAACAGATGGCTAAGATGGGCCTCACAGCTGGGAGACGATGTTGCTGGCCAGGCTGCAGGTCAGTCCCGTCCCGTCCTCTTCCACGTTGAGGGACTTCACCATGCTGTCTTCCACCACCATGGAGAACCTGGGGGGAAAAAAAAGGAGCGGAAAGAGGATGAAACTGGGAGGGAGATGGGAAGAAAAATAATTGGTGGAAAAGATAAGATGGCATTTTTTAAAAAAAACTGGATTGAGAAGGTCTTATTTGGAGATACAGGAAGGAATCAAGGTAGAGTTGAGAAGATTCAACCAGGCTGTGTAGTAATAGCTTTTTTCATTGACTCTTTTGAAAGGTATGTAAATGTGGTTTACCTCTATTTGTCCGTCGATGGCTAGTTTTTTTTAAAAAAATTAATATAGGTAGTCCTCAACATACAACTTTGTTTAGTGACCATTCGAAGTTACAACGGCACTGAAAGAAGTGACTTATGACCATTTTTCACACTTATGACCTTTGTGCCCAACCCACAGTCACGTGATCAAAATATAGATATTTATGTCAAGTCACATGACCCCCCTTTTGCCACCTTCTGACAAGCCAAGTCAACGGGGAAGCCGGATTCACTTAGCAACCGTGTCGCTAACTGAACAACTGCACTTAACCAACCCGGCAAGAAAGGTCATAAAATGGGAGAAAACTCACTGAACAAACGTCTCACTTAGCAAACAGAACTCCATTGTGGTTGTAGAGTTGGCAGTGGCCTAGAGGTGGAGCTCTCGCCTCACAATCAGGAGGCTGTGAGTTCGATCCTAGGTAGAGGCAGATATTTCTCTCTCTGGGCACAATGAGAATATTAATCTGCTGAACAAAACTCCGCTCTGGCAACAGGAAAGGCATCCGGCCAGTAAACACTGTTCCATTCAGTTGCCTAGGCTCCACCCCGCAAGGGATTACAGGGTCTTTAAAAGAAGGTGATCATCGTGGTTGTAGCTCGAAGGATGCCTGTAAAGGTTTTGGAAGGGAAGGCATCCACACACACGAGACACACACAAAATGCAATTTCTAGCTCTCAGACCTTTTGGATCGGTTCGTCCCAAACAATTGTCGGAGAGAGTCCTTGTCAAGGAGAAGGTTCGTGGCCTGTGGGAAAAAGCAAAATTGGGGTTGACCTTCAGCGTCTGGGAGATTTGAGGCAGTTTGGTCTAGTGGTTAAAACACCAGATTTGAAAGCAGGAGATGATGAGTTCTAGTCCCGCGTTAGCCATGAAAGCCAGTTGGGGGATTTGGGGCCAGTCCAAATCCGTAATCCCAGCACCCTGGGTCTCCCCTGTCCTAGTCCAGAGCCCGAACCCCCCCCACCTCGCCA